GACCTCGGCAGCGTGGTGCTTAGAATGTGCAAGACATGACGTTCGGCATGCCTGCGGCCTACTGGTACAAGCTGTTGCAAGTGTCTCGGAGCGGCTGGGACGCAAGAAACACCAGACTTGCCGCATCCGAGGTGCTTTCGAGTTTCCCTGACAGCCTATGCTGCGGCAGGCCGGCAAATCAAAAAGGACAAAAAACTCAAAGCAGCGAGGAAGTTCTTGTAGCCCGTCTATCGAAGGCCCCATGATCTTATCATCCGTCGCCAAGACGCCCAGGGCATGAGCTTGTGCAAGGACGGTGCATCCTTGTCAGGCTCATTCTTTGTCCACCTCCGGGGTGTCCTCACAAGCATGCTACGATTCTTCCGGCCTAAGATCTGGCTCCGTTTAAATCCAGCGAGTTCAGAAGGCACAAGGGGTATGCACGGCATGCAACCCCCCCCTCAAACATGCCATCATCCTTATAGGAACTCCAAAAACCGGCAACCTTCCACCTTAAACCCCGAATTAGCGGAAACCATGGGAAGCCCTGATAAGCGTCCTGGCCGTCGCCGCCAGCCTGACCACTTTGCCATCCCCAGGACCTGCGACTTGCCATCCCCCCAGAAAAAGCACCCAAAAACGTGGAGCTGTGAAGTCCCTCGAACCGTTCCGACTCGTGCTGGCGCGTTGTTTGAAGTGGACTGGCTGAGTCGGCAAAGGATGCTGTGAGAGTTCTGATTTGCATTACGATGGGCCAATGCTTGCAGATTCCGGCGGGAGCCTGCGCTTCTAAACCGCCAGGCCAGTGCATTGCTCTAGGGCTTGGAATCGAAGATTAACTGATTAGCAGTGATAGAATGAAGTACGTATTGATCCGAGACCAGGGCGGGCTACCGGCTGCCAGTGTCGACGGTCACTGTCCAAGGCCACACCGGCCGCCGCAATGAGGCCCCCGGCACCTCACAAGAGCCAATCTCAGACCACGCTTTGCTCTTCGCTGAATTTTATTCTGGCCTGATGGCGTTGTCGTGCCCCTGGCAACAGTGACGCCGCGTCCGTGAGCCTCTTTGCAAGCTGGCTGCTCACTACTCCTTGTCGAAGCTTCGGACGACAGGCTAGCGGCTTGCAGATAAGTGGCAGGTCGAGGAAAGGAAACCTCCCGCTTGTATCCGGCGGGCATGTCATGGGTACGTGAGGGCTATGCCAAGCTGCTACAAGTCGTCTGCTGAAGCTCTCTGCTACAGGACTTCTGGTAGATGTTCGTGCTGGATGTGCGATCTGCGTGTTGAACTCATGACTGGCCTCTGCTCGAATCGGAAACAAGCCACAGGTGCAGATTGTTGCGCCTACACTTGCTAACACTTCCACTCAATCTTAACCGTCTTAACCTTGTCAGGGCAGGATTTACACTCTCCGACCGTTGCAGTTTGCAGGCATGTCAAGGCGCAGACGAAAGACTCCGTCAGCCCCGGCTGAGCTGCTATGGGACTGATTCGGCCAGCAGCCTGCACCGGGCTACTATCGACATTCATTATCATCATTCTCGTGGCGCGGGCCATCGTCATCACCACCATCATTGCCGTCATCGGCGTCAACATTGCCATCATTCATATTGATCCTCATCCTCATCTGCCGGCGGCGTTGGCAGCACCGTTCCCATCATGATCATCCCCATCCCCATCCTCATCGTCGTCGACATCATTGCCATCATGACCATCGGCATCATCGCTACCATCATATTTTCAGACAGGAGGTGGAAACACAGACCGGGACGCATGCCCTGACAGTATGCAGACAGTTCTGAGGAAATGGCCTTTCATACTGAGATCTTCCTGAGATTCGAGCCATTGCAATTTCCGCAGAGCGCTGCGGGTGCGCAGAGACGAGCTGCTCTGCCTGCACAAGCAAGAGCGGACTTGAGCCGACCAGCGTTGCAGGAATCTGGACTGTCGGGGGTCACCTGCTGCAGCAGCTCAGCCGCAGTTGCAGCATGCTGTGGTCGAGGCCCTCCTCCACACTCCAGTGACTCCAATGCTCTTACAAGGGTTGATATAGGGCTACTAGCAGGGCTATTTCGGGGTTGTCTAGGGTCATAGGGTTCTTGGGTCATTGTGGGTGGTCATTTCCGTCTTCGTAGAGGGTGACAGCAATGGCCGTTGGCATGTCCATGCAAAACCCGTCTCCTGCGCCAATGACCGCGCGGGGGAGGCGAGCTGCATGAGCCAAGAAGGAATCTAAACCTCAATTGCTCCCAAAGAACAGCACGAACAGCACATCAAGAGCTCTCTACTTCGACTTGGATCCAGAATACTATAACAATAATCATAATAAGAATAATAATAATAATCATAATAGTAATAATAAGAATAATAATAACCCCCGAACGGCCGACTGGACTGGGACTCTACTGCCTTGGCTCTTGGTAGTTCTTGAGCTGCCAAAGCCAAGGCCCCAGCTCCCTGCAGCAGTTGCCAGCACCATGGCATTTGACCAGGGCAGCAACAAGCAAAGGCGGCTTCAGTGTGAGTTCTTCTGCACGTCACACTCGGTCATCTTGCTGCGTGTGGCCGAAGCTGATAGACTTGGTGCACTTTAGGGTTTAGGACTTAGGGTTTGAGGGCTTAGAAGTTCCTCGTCGTAGTTGCCGGTTGTGTTAACGCGGCCTTTTCTCCTCTCCTTGATTCTAAAGGGGAAGGTTTGGTTGAACATAGGTCTGATATGAGGATATTCGTGAGTGTCGAGCTGCAGAGCGTGGAAGCTTGAGGCAAAGTTGCCGGCGGCGGACAATTTGTAAAAAACCTAGAAACCCTTCAAATCCTCAAAATTTTAAAAGGCCGGCCATTTAAAATTTTAAGGTTTTTAAGGTTTTAAGGATTTTAAAAAATCTAAATGGTTTGGGGAGGGGCCCGGGGCCGGTCCAAACCATTTAAATGTTTAAGAATCTTTACAATCCTTAAAACCCTTGAAACTTTTAAAAGGCCTGCCATTTAAAGCTTTAAGGATTTCAAGGATTTTACGGCCTTGTAAAATGTTAAAAAGCCTTAAAATCTAAAATGATAAAAGGCCGGCCAATAACATTTTACGGATTTTAAGGATTTTTAAAATTTAAATGGTTTGGGGAGGGGCCCGGGGCAGGTCCAAACCATTTATCCTTTAAAATCCTTAAAATATCAAAAGGCCGGCCATTAGAAATGTTAAGGATTTTAAGGATTCTGCGACCTTTCAATTTTTAAATCGGCCTTTTAAATTTAAAAGCGGCCTTTTAAATTTTTAAAAAGCCTTAAAATCCTTACAATCCTTAACATTTTAAAAGGCCGGCCATTTAAAACTTGAAGGATTTTAAGGATTTTACGGCCTTTTAAGTTTTTAAATCGGCCTCTTAAATTTTCTAAATGCCTTAATATCCTCAAAATCCTTAAAATTTTAAAGGCCTGCCACGCAAAATTTCAAGGTTTTTAAGGTTTTTAAGGATTTTTGAAAATTTAGCTGGTTTGGGGAGGGGGGTCTAACCACAAAAGTTGAAGAAACCAAGGTTCAAGCATCGAAAAACAAGAGAGGGGTCTAACCACAAAAGTTGAAGAAACCAAGGGGGTCTAACCACGGGAAAACAAGAGAGGTGTCTAACCACAAAAGTTGAAGAATCAAGGAGGTCTAACCACAAAAGTCTGAGAAACCAAGGTTCAAGCAACGGGAAAACAAGAGAGGGGTCTAACCACAAAAGTTGAAGAAACCAAGGGGATCTAACCACAAAAGTCCAAGAAGCCAAGGTTCAAGCAACGGGCAAACAAGAAAGGGGTCTAACCACAAAAGTTGAAGAAACCAAGGGGGTCTAACCACAAAAGTCCAAGAAACCGTCTCTTTCTCTCTCTCTCTCTCTCACTTTCACTTTCTCTTGTCCCCTTTCGCCTTCCCTCGCATCGTTCCACGCCCTTACCTTCCCTCCTTTCCGCCCTACCCATACCGATGCATCGCACAAGCGCACAAGCAAACAAGACATCGGTATTAGTTTTCTTGTCCTCGGAGTAGACATGCAAGCAAAAACAAACTGCCATCAGGAGGGTGACACTAAACAAATTGCAGTTTGGGACGGCTGGCTTGGCTAGCAAGGTCGCACACAGCCTCTATGATTCAGAGACGGTGCTGTCAGACATTATCGGGTCTTGCACGTGCAGACATAAGATGCGTCTAAGATACGTCTGGAGGGTGCACATGCCGCTCCGCAACTAGCGTGCCCGCACCAGAAGCAAGCAGACTCAGCTGCCACCAAGCACATACCAAGCACCATCAGCGGCTCCTGACAGCTCTTGAATGATGTCACATGTGCGCTGCTTGTTCAACGTAAAATGCTGAGTTCAAGCCTGGACCCAAACGGGTTCAGGCTGTAGGGTGTTGCCCACACACTTGGGCAACCTTGGGCAGCTTGCATCTGAGGCAGGGGCAGCTCCGCAGCCAAGAACTCGCAAGCGGACTCTGGCGGAGGCCGCTCCCTGAGAAGCGCCTCAGTGGGGTTCTTGGGGCTTCGGGTTTTTGGCAGTAAGAGCTTGAGGGTTCTGGATTCTAGGCCTTACTCTGGGATTCAAGGGTTCGAGGTTTAGGAGGCCTTCAGGAGCTTAACTCGGGCTTGGGAGGAGCGGCAGGTCGTGTCCGACAGTGTCGAGTAATCGAGTATATCTCGAACAGCCCTGAATCCTCAAAATCTGCGACTGAGCAGCTTCCACCGCACCAGCAAGCCTCCCTTCCAAGTCGTGCCTCAGACGAGACATGCAGAGACCAGAGGCAAGCGCTTCCCCCCTCGTGAGCACAGTGAGTGACAGCCCAGGCCTTCCGAAACCCTACAAGTTGTGCCCTAAAGTGCCCCCCCCCCCTCCATGGCCTATGGACCGCCCCCTAAACTGCAAGGAGGCTGTCCGATGACCTGCCCGGACGCGGCAGGCATTTGGTTGCCCTTCGACACATCTAGGTCTGCGACACCGGCCAGCCTTCGGGCCGGTTTTTGCTAAGAAAGCATACTTGAGAAGCCCTCACTCGCATACCACAGAGCTCCCCATCTTCGCTTCGCTTGCCGAGCGCAGCTTTGCAGCGATTTGGGCATCGCTGGGCAACTGCACGTCCCAAATCACGCCGAGCTTCTCCAGCAGAACGACCAAGGACTGAGTCGCGGCTGATTCAAGAACACGCAAGATCACAAAGTCAACAGGTTTCACACTGGAAGGCTAGGGGATCATTCCAGATTAGGGCTCCTTTTGGGAAGCCCTTGTCTGATGAGTTTGTCAGCGTTTCATTATGAAAAGCTACCTATCAGAGGACCCCTCATTTTGAACAGCCTATATCCCGCGCACGGATTGAACATTGCTTGCACTTCCAGGTCCTCGTGCTCATTACGTTGGGGATCTTCAGCAACGTGTGGGCCCGAAGGGTGGCCCCCGGTTCCCCAGACTATGCCCCTGATGCGACTGAGATTCGTAGGTCAGATCGAACTGCCCCCTTGGGTCACGCAGGTCTTTGAGTGCTCTCTTGCTTTCTTGATGTTGTTCTACGTAGGAAAAAGTCAGGATCGTTTGAAGCAAGAAACGGGAAAAGCCCATGTCTCGCAGACCTTGGAAAGGCGTGATGATTGTTGTGCCAGCCTTCGCCTGAGGACACCATAGCCACCCAAACATTGTTCTTGGAGTCGTCCCCTGTCTTGAAGGGCTGCTCGCCCCAAACATGCGCAAAGGAATTGACCGCTGAGACTCCTCGGTTGTACCAACCCAGCTCGGTCTCAAGATTGCAGGCGAGTCCCTGCTAAAGCTCGACACCTGTGGAGTGTTCCTAAACCGCTAAGCACCCCCAATCCTGTCCGCAGTGTGAATGGAGAACCCTATGGGCTCTTCAGCAGTAGCTGAGGGCCGGTCCGTGAATACCAAGGAGGAGTCGGACGACGAAGCCCCAGACGACAAAGCTCCAGCCACCCAGAAGGTACAAGAGCACGACTTGAGAGATTTGGTGCAGGTAATATGTTTGCCTCAACCAGTCGTAAAATTCCGGGGACTCTCTGTAGAACCAGGGGAGGTAGGCTTCATCCTCCTCTCCAGGCTCCACATGGTTGTGCGAAGCCACAATGGCCTCTGGCATCTTCGTTAGGATCCTCTCCTTCTCGAAGAACCATCCAGCGTGGGCAGTCCAGAGACCCTGAAGGGCGTATCGTGTGATCTAGCAGTATGGTATGACATAGTAGTATAGTACAATATAGAAATATAGTATGATATAGAAATATAGTATGTGTAAAGTATAGTGGTATAGGATATCAGGTCGGCAGGTTGGCTCAGGGCTCTCTTCGCCACATTCAGGCTTGCGGTGGGAGGATGTTTTTTGGCTTCCAGGCTTCCGTACGGCTTGGGCACGGTGAGAAAAATACTAAAACAGTCTCGCGCCTCACGTGGCGTGTGGGGATCCCATGGGGTGTCCGAGAATCGGTGGTGCCACGTGTGGTTCATGGCCCACCATATCGGGTTGCCCTGCATGTTTAAGGCTCCGCACCACGCGATGAAGTACCTTGAGAGGGCATGAAACGCATCGTCAGAGTACTTCAGAGTGCTAGCACAGCATTTGCCGTCCCGGACACCTGGTCTTTCAAGCAACTGCGCTATGAAACAACCGACCTGATTCCGAGCTGCTCGAAGTACTTGTGACACTGAAAGGAGAGGTGTGTCAAGTGCCTGTGGTAGGACAAGGAGATTCCCAGCGTCTGCAGCGATACAAACAAGCCAAGGCAGCACGCAAGGGCCGGAAGTGAGAACGTGCCAGGTCCTGCGGACACTGCTTGGTCAGATACCCACTATAGCACTGGCTGCATCTGGATTTACTCTTTGGGCAGGGTTCTGCAGCGGCATGGTCTTGAAACAAAAAAAGTGTTCGAGAATACAAGGCAATACAAGGTCCACAGGTGAAGGCGATGACGTGCAGAATCAAGAAGTAGCTTGCCCTGAGGAAGTCAATGGTGTGTTTTTTGGTCGCCGGCTTGAAGGAGAAAGCCTCCACACCGTCCGAGAGCGGATACACGTATCTGAAATCCTCTGCAGCCCATGCGGGAGGGCTCTTGGAGCTTGCTGAACCCGAGCGCACCGAGGATACAGCTCGCCTCAAGATCTTTGCAGAAGTTGCCGAAGCCACTGAAGCCAAAGCTAGTCTGGCGAGGCTTGGCATGGAACCAGCACAGCAAGGCCGAGGTGTGCGCACCTCTCGCGAGCTGAGCCCTCTTCGTGGCTGAGAGGCTGCGGGCACTAGGGCGCTCCCCTTTGCGGCACCGGTGGAAAGGCTGGGCACAAATTCGCTTGGCAGAGCCATTGCAGGGAAAAAAATCGCCCCTGAGCCTATGTCTGTTTGTGTTTGGTCACAGCAGCGCCGATTCGACGCCAGCTGCGTTTGAGCCATGGAGAGGAGACAGTGGAGAAACCTTGAGGACGTGAGTAGCTACAACCTGGTTGAAACAAAAGCCGGAGAGCCATGTAGGGGCTTGAATGATAGATCAGGTGCACAGCTTTACAGTGCTCTACTTGCTGGTCCCAACTGCAAAGCTAGCTGCTAGCTGTGTGAAATTGCTTTTTCAGGCCCCCTTCTCTTTGATGAACTGGTGGAAAAACCGCCGTGCCTCTTCTCAGGCTCTACACTCTCATGCAGACTGGTCGAGCACCCGGCATCTTGATGTACTCTGCAGCAGTGCACTTCGTGATCGGATCACGCGCCTTGGCAAGATCTCCGCACTCCATGAGCGACGAAGCGCCTTGCAGAACTCTGCCAAGGCACTTGTTCGTCGGCCCTTGGAGCAGGTTCCTCCCCTTGACCTGCCAGGCCCATGAGTTTGCATTGTCGGCAAATATGCTCTAAGATCTGAGATGACTTGAGCTGGCGACTTCTGGATGCTTCCCGAAGCAGCACCTGCAGCTGCTCGACAACACACCGGGGCTAGAGGGCAAAAGAAGTTGCAAAAGTGTGCTGCTCCGCCTTGGCTTCTGGGAGGTTGCTCAGGTCTGAGTCTAAACAACCTCGGACCCGCAGAGGTGAGCAGGCGAGCAGGCGAGCGCGTCTCTGTGAAAGGCGTGCACTGCATACATCGCATAACCAGGAATCTTACAGCCTCCCAGGTGGTGAAAGATCTCCACTTTGCCGTAGTGATCACTTGCCTCTGTGGGCCAAAGAGGCTGCGTAGGAGAACCATGCAGGGTCAGGCTGCAGGCGGACCTTTGCAAAGTGAAACGAGGTGGAGTCCTTCAAGCTGCCAACTGTCTGCCTTGGGCAACATGCTGTTTTTGAATACAGTACTCCGCGAAGCTTTCCAGTAGGTCCCCCCACGAGTCGCCGATGCTGACTGCAGCGATGGTGGTCGTCCCTAAGGCTGCAGCATCCTGGCAACATGGCAACAAATCTAAACTGCCAATAAACCCTAGATAAATCCACTCCGAAACCCGCCTGCTGAAGAATCAGTTCCACCATCTGGGCTTCTGCATGCGCTATCGCTTCTACAGGAGATTTTCTTCTGTCGGCACTTGAGCCTGACGGCTACGTGCCGAGCCACGCGTGGGAACGTCTCCAGCGAAAGCGGCACCAAGCTGCCACCCGCCACCCCCGAAATACTATGGCTGTGCAAATTTACGCAAGTGCACATGTCACCAGGCACGTGCTGCGGCCAAGCAGACCTAACACATCTCACCGTCTTTTGTCTTTCCGCACGGCTCTCTCCTAGATTGTTGAAAGACTCGTGCGTTCTGCGACTGGGGCTGTCTGTTATGCAATGTACCAGTGCAAAGAAGCTGATGTACGAGCAGAGCTGCAGCTGTGAGTACCTTTGTCAAGAGGCAGACGATGGGAGAACCTACATCTACAATTTGCTGGGGCAGTTTGCTCATTCCAGCAAGCGCCTGTTGCGCCTAAAGTTGTGCCATAGTTTTATATCTGGCGATTAGGACATGGAGTTCAGGACTTGCAATTAGTAAAAGGCGACAAATTGGGTTTAAGCCACATGGCCTCGAATGGCACAAGCACTTCTGCTCCCATGAAGACTTTAATCCTCATAGGAATTCGGTGAAACCGGCTGCTCAACCGCTGCTCTGCCCTGAGCCTCCTGCGCAAAAATATGAGGGGCATTTCGGGAGGGATACACTCCGTGCCCAGGAAGTGGAAACTCTTCAGTCGAAACGGCGGTGGACTGTCAGAGGACTCCCCCTCCCCTGGTACCCCTGTACAGGAGGTATCATTATGCAGATGTGGCTTAACTCTACTTTTCAGAAACTAGGTCCTGCAAGCGTGTCCTAAGATTCTGGGTAGCAGCCCTCGAATTCTTAGCTACAGGAGGTAAAAGAAGTTTCGGTTCTTCGGGCATTCCGTGTTCACAGGGGCTCGCTGACACGGTTGAAACTGCCGATCTGATCAACCCGGAAAATTGAGGCCCGAGCGCGGGGTCATCATGCACGGATGCTGCGCCTCGTCCGAATTGCGGGCTGTAAAGTCTGAGCTGCTTCTTCTTTCCTACCACGAGGGTACCATGCAAACAGAAGATTGTTTTTCGGAGCGTATGGCGTGTGGTGTTCGAAAGAAATGCTCGGGCTTGTGCTGCCCATGGATCAAGAGCTCCTCCAGCAGGTCCTGCAGGTACCAAGAACGGCTGAAGGTCCCGTGCGACCACTCGGCATAGCAAGGCCACCCCAGCCCTTCAGATGTCCCTCCCGCGTCGAGCATGCTCGCAACTCCCTCTGGCAACGCGCAAGCCTTCTTGTAGATGTCGTCCGTGAGCTTCTTCCACCTTGGCTGCCCCACAGACGAGCATCTAAAGATCTCCGGACGCACCTCAGAAACCTGTAGGATCCTGGAGGCTTTGCCACCAGCTTCTGAGGTCCAGACTCCTCAGCATCAAGGGTCAGAAGTCTCCAGCCCCGGCGCCAGATCAGACGTTGCTGCAGCTTCGTCTCCTGAAAACGTGATGCCCACACAGGGCACAGCCGGCAAGCAATCTGTAGACCATGGCCTATAGACAATGCATGGCAAGGACGGTATAAGAACAACACATGGAGGTTTCTGAGGCCAACGCTGCACGTACCAGGCGCTGGCCTCCCATAGCTGGTGTAACCTCGGAGCGACACTTTTTTGGATCGAACTTGTTCAAGACCTCATGTTTTCTCAGACCATGGCATAATAGTCATCATAGGCATCCATGACCTGTAAGACGGTTTTGCCCAAGACCAAGTGAAGGGTCAGCACAGAGTCCTGGCCAGCACATCAACGCTCTCCAGACTGTGCCACGTCGTGCGAACAGAACACTCTGACCTGCAGGATCGGAGTCACTGCCTCGGCAACAGCTGGGTTTTCCGCGAACGGCTAGGAACATTGAGAATGCAATTCAGCTTCAGCGGCCATGGGCCATGCAACAAGCATGCCAGAAACTACGCCCAAATCGATCAAGTTACGACATCCATTTCCTGCTCAAGGATCCGCAAGATGTCCTCCACGGTTGTGCGCGGAGCTTTCGAAATTTTCGCTTTGGGACGACTCTGCGTGGCTGTTGCTGCATTTGCCACATGTTGCTTCCATACCCCGCGGCAAGGCTTCTTCTGCCTTCTCGACATCGGACAGAGGGGTTGGGATGATCGCATCATGTGCCTGGCACACCAGTGTTCGAGAAAGAAGATCAAAACGTCACCTGGCTTGTAGCTGCAACCAACGCTTTGGGTGCGCCTCGCTTTCGGCCTTCAGATTTTGCAGCCACAGCTGCACCTGGGCCGGCAGCACCTGTCATGCTTGCATCGGTCACTCTTCTCATCGTGGCGTGGCTTGTGATCCAGTGTAGAAGTGTCAATTCGGGCGCACCGTCGGATGATAATCCAAGCGCAGACAGTCCTCCAAAAGACGAAACCTGAGTAGATCTTGCAGACGGAGTACGACTTGTCAAATCGAAAAAAAAGGTCATTTTGCCCCGAATGTCTCGAAAACGTGACAAAACCATAGAGGCCATCAACAAGTCAAGCGTGCGTGAGGTTAACAAATCCAACTAACAATATGCTTCGCATGGTGCCGCCAGGAGCGATCTGAATGGAACACGGATCACGGGAAACCGTCTCAGTTCCACAAAGGTGCCCATGGCATGCTTACATGAGTCCGGACGGTCCCTAGACGAGGAAGATTCCTGCAGAAGACCACGCCTGCAAGCTCAGATATTCAGAAAGCCGAGGCTTCGGCTGTCTCAGAACATCCGGCTTCGTCATGCGAACCTTAAATCTAGCCCAGCAGAGATTGCTCAGTCCCGCGTCCAAGGCTTCAACCGTCACGACGTCTCGGTTTATGGGTGCTCTACTCCACTGGCCCCTTTGTTTTTGCAGATTCTCGGCGACCTGGGCTCCATGCTGGAAGCCCCATGTTCAGTTCGGCACATCGCGAAAGGTAGGCCACTCGAGCCTGAGACGTCTCTTCTTGCCAACACTTTCCCCCTGTCTCTACCGATTCGTGCCTCGTCCGAGAAGATGGACATCACCGTCAGAGGGATAACTGAAGTGCACTGATCTTTGCCTGAGCGAATTCTAGCAAACCCTTGAAGGCGACGACCGCAAAGACCGCTCAATGCTTCCAGCGCTTCCCGAGGCCACTGCTGAGTTCCCTAAAGAAGGGCGCCATCTCGCGCAGCATTGCCTTCGAGGCGATATTGTTCTACGATGTTCTACGATGTTCTGTGGTATCTAGAGAAGCCGACGGAACTCCTAGGACTCGAGATTCTCGTGAGCAAGAATCTCAGAGCGGCCAAGGCGGCCAAGATGCGCCAACCAGCCGCGGATTGCGAACATCAAGCCTGGAGATCCACGTGCCACTTGAACCCCCACAATCCCTCCACAGCTGCGCGGACTCCGCGCCTAGCATGCACGTTCATCACTTCGACATACATGTCCAAGACGAAGTCATCTGACAGGCGGAAGAGCGCCTGACACTCGAGTCCACTAAACTTAAACAGAGCGCTGCTGAGTTCAAGTTTGAAGGGGGCTGCCCTGCACAGTTCAGGTCTATAAACGGCTACTTGCTCTTTGCTTCGACACCTCGTTGCCCATGAGGGACATGAGCGTCTGATCCCGCAGGCCAGCCCTGGCGAGCCTTGGAGAGGTCTTCTACAAATTAAGGACAGACCATATACATATGTATACGATGTATATACTAAACAAATATAAACATATACATATGCACATATCTAGACATATAAATATAAATATAAATAATTCAATAAATAAATCAATGAATATATGTATATATATATATATATATAGAAATATAAATATATATATACACATATATACATATATATATATATATATATGTATATTATAAACAAAGGAAAAAAAGGTATTGGGCTAGAGATAGCTAGACTCGGGCAAGAGCACTCGTGCCAGACAAGGAGCCAGTGAAAAACTTGGCAGAGCCGTGTCGAGGAGGCACTTTTCACCTGCCAGGCCGATGCAACGGCGACGCGCAGTGTTTCCAGCCTCCCTACTATAAACCCTAGACCCTAAATCCTAAACCCTAAATCCTAAACCCTAAGTCCTAAACTCTAGACTCTAAGCCCTAAACTCCATGGGGTGAACCCCAGCCTCCCTGGCAAGCTCGGAGCCAATTCGATTCAGCAAGTCAGCACCGCCTCGGCAAGCAACAAAAGCGGTGCCGCAGAGGCATCGAATCGAAACAAAAACTCGCGGCCAGGCTCACCTGCTCAAAGTGCTAGAAAGTCTATCCAGGTCCAGTCAGTCTCCGCAGGATTCGGCAGGTGAGGACCGCGCGATATCTCGCCATCACAAAGGCCTTGAGAACCCGTAGGATGCGGTCCAGCGGCATGGTGATGAGGAGCTCCTCCAAAAGAATTTGACGAGTAGAAAATACATGAAATTGCGCACCATGTTGGGAAGCCCAGGTTTAAGCCAACCCGCATCTCTAAACCCTAAACCCAGTGAGGAAACGCACCTCATCGTGGGAATACAGGACAACCCTTTCATGAAGGCTTTTTGTGTAAGTTTCACAATGACACCGGGCGTTGAAGTACGAAGTACCTTCCATGTCGATACTTGACGATGTCTAGGGTTCTGAATCGCCGGCTGGTCAGAGTTGCATGCCATAAGTCGCTGCAACGTTCTGCTTATGTTGGGCAGAAGGGTTGCCAGAAAAGCCAGCTGCAACAGCGTGAAGGGCTTACGACTCTAGTGGCAGCAGGATTTCTCTTCCGACCTCCGACGCCCGTCACGCCAGGAGAGTGAGCAGAGCGTCCGACGAAGCTGGGATTTCTGGGAGCACGCCCAGGCACGGAGTCAGCTCTGGGCCACCCCACGGCTTCTATATCCTCTATACACAACACCTGGGGGCCGAGAGACTCTCGCGCTCGCATGTCACCTCTGAGGGACATCGCGTCAAAATGCATCGCAAAGCGACAAAACTGAGAGGCTGTATCAGGATCGAACCCTTACTGTACGAGATGGGAAGACCTGAACCAAAAGACGACAAAACTTCCGATGTCATAACGACCATTTCCACGACAAACCGCGAGCCGGGGAGCAGGATCCAAGGAATCCAAGGGCTCTGACCCCTGGGCTCCGCAGAACTCAATATGGGCCTTGCCGGCAAACGATTCCGCCCCTGCATTCCCTGTGCCCATAGTGATACCACCAGCCACCTCGGCAGTACGAGCCATAGCGGCACACCAGCAGGTCTGCAACCGCAGTCGTGCTGTTGGTGTCGTCCTGCATCATGGTCGTGAAGTTCGAAGCGCTGCCTGAGGTATCAACCTCAGAACCGACATCCGTGTCGGCCTTGTAGCCGGACTTGCACACCAGCGCTCCGCTGCACTTGCGGACACCATTGATCCATAGCCAAGTGCCGCGGCACACAACCCCGAAGCGGCAGGAGATCAAGCTGCTGAAGCCATGGGACTGGTTCAAAGCATCATATGTGGGCTCTACAGGACTCAATGCCACCAGTGCAGTGTCTTGGCTGTCACTCGCACCAAGATGGAGCGTCGGCTCAGTGGCCTCAGAGCCTGCGTAGTATGGGCCATGTCGGCAAACGATTCCGCCCCTGCATTCCCGGCGCCCATAGTGATACCACCAGCCACCTCGGCAGTACGAGCCATAGCGGCACACCAACAGGTTTGCAACCGCAGTCGTGCTGTCGGTGTCGTCCTGCATCAGGGTCGTGAAGTTCGAAGCGCTGCCTGAGGTATCAACCTCAGAACCGACATCCGTGTCGGCCTTGTAGCCGGACTTGCACACCAGCGCTCCGCTGCACTTGCGGACACCATTGATCCACAGCCAAGTGCCGCGGCACACAACCCCGAAGCGGCAGGAGATCAAGCTGCTGAAGCCATGGGACTGGTTCAAAGCATCATACGTGGGCTCCACAGGACTCAATGCCACCAGTGCAGTGTCTTGGCTGTCACTCGCACCAAGATGGAGCGTCGGCTCAGTGGCCTCAGAGCCTGCGTAGTATGGGCCATGTCGGCAAACGATTCCGCCCCTGCATTCCCTGCGCCCATAGTGATACCACCAGCCACCTCGGCAGTACGAGCCATAGCGGCACACCAACAGGTTTGCAACCGCAGTCGTGCTGTTGGTGTCGTCCTGCATCAGGGTCGTGAAGTTCGAAGCGCTGCCTGAGGCATCAGAACCGACATCCGCGTCGGCCTTGTAGCCGGACTTGCACACCAGCGCTCCGCTGCACTTGCGGACACCATTGATCCATAGCCAAGTGCCGCGGCACACAACCCCGAAGCGGCAGGAGATCAAGTTGCTGAAACCATGGGACTGGTTCAAAGCATCATACGTGGGCTCGACAGGACTCAATGCAACCAGTGCAGTGTCTTGGCTGTCACTCGCACCAAGATGGAGCGTCGGCTCAGTGGCCTCAGAGCCTGCGTAGTATGGGCCATGTCGGCAAACGATTCCGCCCCTGCATTCCCTGCGCCCATAGTGATACCACCAGCCACCTCGGCAGTACGAGCCGTAGCGGCACACCAGCAGGTTTGCAACCGCAGTCGTGCTGTTGGTGTCGTCCTGCATCATGGTCGTGAAGTTCGAAGCGCTGCCTGAGGTATCAACCTCAGAACCGACATCCGTGTCGGCCTTGTAGCCGGACTTGCACACCAGCGCTCCGCTGCACTTGCGGACACCATTGATCCACAGCCAAGTGCCGCGGCACACAACCCCGAAGCGGCAGGAGATCAAGCTGCTGAAGCCTTGGGACTGGTTCAAAGCATCATACGTGGGCTCTACAGGACTCAATGCCACCAGCGCAGTGTCTTGGCTGTCACTCGCACCAAGATGGAGCGTCGGCTCAGTGGCCTCAGAGCCTGCGTAGTATGGGCCATGTCGGCAAACGATTCCGCCCCTGCATTCCCTGCGCCCATAGTGATACCACCAGCCACCTCGGCAGTACGAGCCATAGCGGCACACCAGCAGGTTTGCAACCGCAGTCGTGCTGTTGGTGTCGTCCTGCATCATGGTCGTGAAGTTCGAAGCGCTGCCTGAGGTATCAACCTCAGAACCGACATCCGCGTCGGCCTTGTAGCCGGACTTGCACACCAGCGCTCCGCTGCACTTGCGGACACCATTGATCCATAGCCAAGCGCCGCGGCACACAACCCCGAAGCGGCAGGAGATCAAGTTGCTGAAGCCATGGGACTGGTTCAAAGCATCATACGCGGGCTCGACAGGACTCAATGCCACCAGTGCAGTGTCTTGGCTGTCACTCGCACCAAGATGGAGCGTCGGCTTAGTGGCCTCAGAGCCTGCGTAGTATGGGCCATGTCGGCAAACAATTCCGCCCCTGCATTCCCTGCGCCCATAGTGATACCACCAGCCACCTCGGCAGTACGAGCCGTAGCGGCACACCAGCAGGTTTGCAACCGCAGTCGTGTTGGCGGTGTCCTGCATATCTGCGCTGGCAGTGCTGGTGCTTTGCAAGCTCGCATCCCCACCTGTCGTCTGACACACAAGCGTGCCATCACACTTCGGCACACCCTCCACCCAAACCTCAGTGCCGTGGCAAAGCACGCCATAGCGGCAAGAGATCACGTTCCGGACGGCCCAAGACTGGTTCGTCGGGTCGAAGACTGAGTCCTCCTCCACACTAACCGCAGCCGACACGGTCCCGCGCAGGCTCTGTCCTTGGGCTGCGGGGAGCTGCCAAAGGGCCACGAGAACGAAGAGGACTGACGACATCCCTGCAAAAAAGGATGCGCTCGTCTAGAGTCTACACGGGACAGTCGCAGAGTCACTATAGTTTTGCCAAAAGCTGGTGGGGCCACGCGGAGCACGGCTGGGCAAACATCTGGACATGATTGGACGAGCAAACGACATCAAATGACTCAATGCACTTCACCCCGGCTGCGGCCTCTGCTCGTTTGGCGTACTGGCCCCAGAGCTCGGGCCTTGCAGCTATAGAGACAAAACAACAGCAACAAAAAAAACCAACACCCATAGTAGTCCTATAGCCCTTTTGGGCACCCTTCTCTCATGCCTGTTCCGAGCCCCGCTAGGGGCATTTTGCGACAAACTCCCAGGCATTCTGAGGCCAACACTGTGATTCGCCTGTCGCCCAGGAAGCCTCAATGGTCTCCTGAAAGCATGTCCGCATATGTCCGCACTTCACCCTAACCCTTGAGACCCTAAACCCCGATACTGTAGAACCTTAACCCCAAACTCTCAATCCCCAAGCTGTCGCCGGCCGCACCAGGAACTCCAGTTCGAGCTTCTGCGTCCCATCCGGTACGGGCTGGGGCCTTAGGCGTGGACGTCCGTGATCTCTAGGGGTAAATACTGGCCTGGCACGGGGTTTGGATAAATTTAGCGGGTTTCCTTGAAATTTGGTTGCTTTAGATAAAGAACCTTCCCCCAAATGAGCAGGCGAGTAGGTATTTGGGTACGGGGTTTGAGAGCAGTAGGGTCACCTTTCGGCTTCTCACTTTCGGCACATGCTGTTCCATGCACCCCTGAACCCCTATGCCTTCAAGAAGGCCCAAACTGAGACCCCCAAATCCGAAACCCCAACAGCCCCTTCAGCCCTCAAACCGCAACCTCCCCCAACCCCTCTGAGGGCGCCAGCGGCACGCGGGCTGCCGCAGCGTCATAGAACTGATCGGACGGGTGCCCGGGCCTCGGCCATTGGTGAAGTTTGGGGTTCAGGCTGCAGGATTTGGGGGTTTCGTGTTTATGGCAAAGCTTATAGGTTGAGGGATTTAGGGTTGTTGGTTTGGCACGGATGGTACTGCGGCAAGACAGCGCATCGTGCAGGGCCGAGGGTGACAAACAACAGTGGACGTCGAATATCGGATGTGGCATACCGTCTTTCTTTCCTGCAAAAGATGCTGCACAATGCAACACATAGTATGACGAATGCAACACATGAAGAGGCCGCGTATCTTGCCTAGTCTGCAGCATCAGAGACAGTACTTTGTGGTATGTTCCAACCGCAAGAAGGATGCTGCGTGTGCATTTTGAGCAACCTGCTGGAATCGCCCCACTTTGTGGGCCAACGATTCGTCTGATGCGGTGAAACTGCCGCTTGAAACACGTGTCTGTGTCAGTGGCAAGGAACAGAGCATCCAGCGATCAGGACTCCTTTGTGCCACAATCAGCTCAGCTGCGCTGGTGCCTCAGCCTCTGCAGCGGCCCAGAAATGGATTAAACGATGCCAAAACCCCAAGCATTCCTAATCCTTAACCATACACATAACCCCAAGAATTCCTAAGCCCTAACTCTACACATCCTTCTAAGCAGTGTTGCAGCGGCCAGCCTCGTCAGCCTGACCTTTCTCTTTCTGGTCCGCAGTGTGGTCATCAGAAGCAATCCGATCGAGAATGCCATCGAACCTGGGAGCTTGGGCTGATAGGGCTTTAAGGGCTTGCGGGGGGGTAAAGCCCAAATCTTCATCACGGGGTGCTGCGCCCCCCCCCTCTTGTGCCCCCCCCCCCCCTTAATATGTAGGGCTTGCTGCAAGTGGTTCTCCAGTGTAAGTCCCTATTAGTGCCTTATTAAGGGCTTAGTTCAGCCTTATTCGGTTTCCCGCCTTTGCAAGAAAATAAGGCTTGATTTGTGCATTGATAAGGCCCTATTCTTTGGGTTTGATGCGATGTGCTTGTTTCGGCCTTATTTCCCGCGCGAGTGGTGTAGCAGTGTAACCCTTACCCAGATGTTGCAAGCTGTAGCATGTTTTCTATCAGAGGATGAATATAAGTTACACGGCTGTCAGAGGGAGTAGGACAAGAACATCTCCCTTGAAACATCGCCGGATTTCTCTGCGCTAGATCTGCTTGCAATGGCCAGCTAGATGACGTACCAGCCTTGTGCCTGGACGGAATAAGCCCGGAATAAGCCTGGAATAGGCTATTCCGGCCTTATTCCGGGCTTAATCCGGCCTTATTCCGGGCGTATTCCGGGCTTAATCTGGGCTTACTCCGGGCGTATTCCAGACCTGTTCCGGGCTTGTTTAGGATGGAGGGTCAAGGGGATGGGTTGTTTAAATGGGTTTTTCGGTCTCGTCGGTTGTGAGGAGGTGGAAATACAAGTCGCGCGCACAGATTGCCGCCAAATCCTGTTTGGCCAATCTCACTGCCCCAGGCATTCTTATTCCTGCCTTATTTCGGCCTAGACGTCGCAAAACCACTGAAACCGAAATACGCCTCACATGGCTTATATATTAAGGGGGGGGGGGGGGGCACAGCACCCCATGACTTCAGGAGTCCGATCATAAAACTGAACTCCAAGGAGCTCTTCGCGGGTTTTCTCCGGTCCCTCTGCACGGGCCTGCTAGTCATGAGAATGCACCCGATCTGTGTCGGCTTTTGCGGGGTGTACTCTAAACCTCGCTTCATGTTAGTGACGGCCGTGAGCTGCGAATTGAGTATCTGCAGAAGGACCCTTCCGAAGCTTGAACTCGGTTCAGGAGCAAAAGCACCCACCTCCAGCTCCTGCTCCATGTCCTCCACCCATGAGATCTGCCACCCTTTGCTTTCTGCCAGGCCCTGGCAATGACATGTCGCACATAACGCCCAAGTTGGTAAGATCTACCGCGCCTGGTAAGTTTTGGCCCGTTTCTTGTGCCGGCCATGGATGACGATTCGCTCAACATGCCTGAGCGCCGACAGTGGCAAAGGCATGAGCTGGCTGTGGGCATATATATATATATACATACAGAGATATGTACAATATCTATATATATATATACACATGTATGTCACGCGATCTCGAAAGGCGCTTTGAGACGGGGCACTTTGCCAAGTCGATCTCACCGTGGACCTGCACCTCCTTGTACTTTCCCCATTGTTGGCATACTGCCTGGCTGGAGCAGGCAACGAAGCAAGTCGTGGACATGCAGACTACCTACGAACAATGCCCTTGCTTATGCCACGGATCATGGGATCCGGAGAATCTGGAGCGCCTTCGAGTCCCCGATTCTCTCGTGCCCGTGCTTCGCCAACATCACGATTTCTCGCAACTCGTCGTCGCTGTACTCCTGCCAGGACTGTCTCATGTCACCTGCCGATATCTGCCGTACTCACAGCGAACGCAGCATGCCGTGATCCCGCTGGGCTCCGGCGCTTGCCCTGAGCAACCAGCAATGAAGACTGAAGAGCACCGTCGCATCACGACACCAAAATTGCGCGAGCAGTTGATCAGCAAACTTCCTTACGTAGAAACACGGTGGAAGCATCAGCACGAACTTCCCTAGGAAGAGGGGGCAGTTCGTTGATCAGCAAACTAACCTGGAGCGAGTTCGCAGCTTGTGGATCGGCATTGCAACATGTTTGCTGATCAACTGACCCCGCTTTCCAGGGCAATGTGCCGATCAACGAAGGGCCTCCGCTTTTTCCAGGGAAGTATGCTGATCAACTAACCATCCGTTTCTGTGCAATTTTGCTGATCAACTGTTCCTCCCCCGTTTCAAAGGTAGTTTGCTCAACACCCTGTTTCTATGGAAGTTGAGCAGCATGCTTCCCTCGAAATAGGAACAGGACCACGTCCACAGGCACATGCAGCCATGAGCGCAAAACAAAGCAACAGATTCTAGCGAGGGTTAGGATTTGGGCTTTAGGCGAATGGCTTTGGGATTTGGGACGTAGGTCGCTTCCGCGCCAGTATTTAGTGGTCAAGCCCGTGGTAGCAGTAGCACATTGCTTTCGCTTCAAGGCATGTGACCCCATGCCGACACCCCCTTCCATACTCTTGGGGGTCTCGGAATCCGACCCCCCCAAACACTCGGATCGACTGTTCTGATGCAGTTTGCTGCAATTGGTTGAGCGAAAGGCCTTTTGGTTGCTTTCGTCTATGGCTTCCGCAGACATGTATGGTTGAGTAGCAGTCTGTTCTGAAGCTAATTTTCTCTAGGAACAGGTGCATCACCAGTAGGGATCGTCCCTTGTGTTGCAACAAAGCTCCAGAATTTACTGCCAACAATCAATGGGAATGGCCAACTACTATTGGCGTGCTTAGTAGCCAAAGCCGAACAACATCGACCTACTGCAGCCGTTGCCGGAAGGCGCTGCTTCACAAATCAAGGAAAGTCCAGGTACTGGTGAGTGTGCACCCTTTGCCTATTCAGGGCAGTTCAGGGCGGCGCATGCGAATGGCCATTGGGAAGCAATCTGCACCAAGTCGCAACAGCCTTCCAACTTCCAAAGCTTGAAGCAAACCAATCAGGGACCCTCTGCTTGTAGCAGCTGCTGCTGGTAGAAGAATCGGAACCCCCAAACCTCGAGAAATCGCCGGACTTGGTGGAAGGTCCCCATCTTCTTCAACTTTCCGCCCCCCGGCTCCAGCAGGGAGTGGGCGCAGAAGTCCAGTACCGCAAGCCGCTGAGCCTGAAGGCCGCCAGAGTCCTCGCAGTCACATCTGGATGAAGAATAAGAGAAAACATAAGAAAAAGAATAAGAATCAGAATAAGAATAACAATCAGAAAAAGAATAATAAGAAGAAGCATGATAATCATAACTTGGGTTTTGGGGAAGGCTCAACTAGGGCGCGTTCGCGCTTTGCGGGTTTCGAGGGTGTCTGGCCTTAGAAAGGTTTAGGAGCGCGGGGCTTTGGGATCCAAGCGCTTGGTGTTGGTCTGCACAAGCGAGCTTAGCGGCTCGTGTTGCTTTGAAGTTATATGCTGATGATTCTTGCAACTGCCGCTGCATCGGGCGACTGCTAACTCGAACTCCAGGTCCCTTCAGAAATTCAAGGCTCCCACAGGCCTGCGCTGCCAACGTGCAGCGCAATCGGACATCCTCAAACACAGGCGTGCGTGGGAAAAAGACTCCCTGGATGCAATGTCCGAGTCACCTTGAGAACGAGGTAAGAATCACCGTACTGCTGGCAACCGTAGACGCCGTGCGGATCGTTCCTGAGATCTTTCCCATCATCTCATGCAGGGATCTCACTGTGGGCAGCTTGCGCCCACCGAAAGGGCAACAAAGCCCATGCTCATCTGACAGACGCTCCCCAAAGAAGGGCAAGGGTGACAAGGTTGTAAGGTTGTAGATTGCGGTTGTCTCCCCATGACGATCGAAACGGCATTGCCATGCTCAATAGCAATCTAAAATTTTGCATTCCAGTGCTAAAACAGTACGCAGCCCTCCATGATGCAGGAAGTGACCTCATGATTTGTCACCAGGCTCACTTTTAAGATTTCGAGTCAAGCAACATCGATTTCACTTGTAAGGGGAACGACGCAGCATTAAAAGTCTTGTATAGTCGCCTACTGAAGCAGGCTGCAATTCTTGAAGTCCTGATGCAGGACCTCAACAACAACTGTCGCGCCGGTCCCAGCACAGCACAAGTGCGGCAAAGCTTCCAAACGTTCAGAACACCATACCTTGGCTGTTGGTAAAACCCCGCATAAGTTCCCCACAAACATCTGAGCCGAGCTACTTGGGCCGGTGGAAGGGCTCTGCATCGTGGTAGGAGTCGCCGAAGAGGGATCGCTCCCATTTCTTGCGGACTTCGATATTCAGCAAGCCACGGGAGCTGTTTGTCCTGAGTCGGGGGACCCGTCACACTTACGATTATACGATGGTAATATCCACACATACATTACATCTGATGCGGATCCTTTGCTCCTGTGGGACATTGTCCAATGATCTCATCATGTCACAATCAGGAACCTCAGGAACCTCTACAGAGTCCCTTCAAATCTCTGTGGGTGTTGCTGCGCTGAGACTCTCGAACTGGTTCCGATAGTGCGAGTCATCTTTCAGGAACGGCGTGATCCCGTCCAGGTCAATGTGGACAATGACCGGTGCCAACTCCCTGCGCACATTCTAGAGCGTGATCGCTAGGTTGCTATGAAATACAGCTAGAAGTTCTAAGTCCCCCAGAATACCAGTAGCGTATTGCGCATTCCCTTCCAGCAGTGCCTGATCCACGCAAGCGTCATCCACATGTCCTGCACCCCATAGCCCAAGGTTTCGAAGCGGGTCGTCAGCTCGGGGAGCGCGTGCTCGTGATTGGCGCGAGCCAAGCATCGCACGTGGTGCAGCGCTTCCTCCGAGACACCGGGAATGTCTCGGACATGCGCTTCATGCACATGCCCTTCATTCAGCCTTAAATCGTGCCAGGAATCCAGCTGACACCCATCCAGGAGCGCCACTGCCGCTAGGTCGGCGAGGCTCACCAGTGGCCTCCAGGCGGCCTCAGATGTGTCTTTGACTGGTTTTAGACTCTTGGGCGCTACAGTCTGCCGTCCTTTGCCCTTTTTGGCTTGCATGCATTGCATGCCTGCTCCTCCTCGCGGAAGCCGGCGGCCAGGAGTTGGCAGCGCAGGTCGTCCTGCAAAGTTCTCTTTGCCACCAGCATCACAGGGCGTCTCTTGCATTGATACCCTAAACCCTAAACTTCCTAAACTTCCTAAACATCCCTAAGCCTCTAAGCCCTTCTTCCAGAAGCGGGGCCTTTCGCACCTCCTCTGTGACTTCGAGGTCGGCACCCCGGGCCGCGATCTGCTGTCTTCGCAGATCCAGGAACTTGTGGCAGCCCCCAAAGCGGCCCACACAGTGCAGAAACTCATGGTGAGTGATCCTGGCAAGAACGACATTGTACCAAAAGGCGCAAATGTCGTATCTGACGCGTGCAAAGCCCTGCACTGCAATAACAGACGAAACTGCAGGCGATTTGATCATGGGCGGTCTTCCCATCAGGATCTCTGTCCACCGTGTTGACAAACTTGTCGACTTCAGCACTCCCATGGGGGAAGCCGAGATAGTCAAGCATGTACTCAATCCTCGGGAGTCAGGAGAAACGTCATGTTGTGCAAGCCGCACCGATTCAGACACAAGCCGCTGCCGCGACAGTTTCGCGACCGAACTTTGCACAGGTCCAAGCTTCTCTGCGCCTTGAAGAACTCCATTTCCGTTCCTCCCAATGTCAGGTTTGCAAACTAGCATCCGCCTGGTGTAAAGCTCACCAAGCCCCTACGGATGTAAACTCGTGACGCACACCTTGGCCGTCTCAGCCTACCTCTACTGCAGCCCGAGCTGCTTGTCAAAGCGAGCGAACGCAGCAGCTGTAGTTTGCTCTTCGCAATACCATTCCAAATCGAGGTGGTCAAGAGCATCATGAGCTTCCTCCTTGCAGTGAACACACTCAAAGGCGTTTGCTTGCAAGAGGACGCTCGCATCTCCCTTCCGATTAAGGAGCATGTTTTCCCCTCCATCTTCCTTTTCGTCTCTCTCTCTCTCTCTGAGTATTTTCCGGTGCCCCCTCCTCATTTTCTGCGGCCTCGCCCCGCTTGATGGCCTGCGAGTGGCAAAGCCATGTTCACGCAAGCCAAGCACACAACATACCAACATACGTTACATTACATTACATTACATTACATTACATTACATTACATTACATTACATTACATTACATTACATGAATACGTTACACTACATTGCATTGCGTTGCATTGGCATTGCATTGCATTGCATTGCTATACATTACTTTACACTGCAATTTTCATGACATTTCATGACATGCCATGACATACACACACACACGTAAAACAAGTATGCACATAAACATAAGTAGATACATACACATAAATATATAGAGAGAGAGGTCGTGTGTGTGTGTGGGGCCTCTTGGCACCGCTGCACGAAAGCGTGGAGGGCGTGGTCCGGCTGTTCCAAGAAAGGCCTGGCGCAGTCAGCCGAAGCATCTTGAAGACTGGACTTGGCCACGCTATTTGGGGGTTTCCGAAATTAAATTAATTAGGGGCACCTGAACTTGGGGTCCTTATTACAAGGGAATCCTACAATTTGGGGGACTCTAGCAGGGGTCACTTGATTTCATAAACCCCATTTAAGGCCTGTTCAAACGAAGCATGTGGAAACCGGACACCGATCAAGGCCGGTCACGGTGAGACGCAGTCCGCCTGCCCTGGGCCCCGAGGCCCTGACCCAAACCCCAGCCAGCATTGCTGGCTCCCTCGTTTTGTCTTGATCTTCGTTGCTGTCCTTACGAAAAATGTCTGCTGAGAATGCCTCGGCAAGCCTTCTAGTGCCACTGGGGTGTGCGGCGCAGCTTCTCCCGACCAAGGCCGAGTGAACATGCATCATGGAGCGGATGGGTAATCGATGTTTACATACTAGTCATGCGCTTTCAGCTTAATTTCGCCTCAACTACTAGCGGAACACCCAAATGGGGGGAGGGGGGGGGGGGGGTTGGGGATCTGACTGGCCACTTCAGCCTATTGCTGCCCAAGCCCGAAACCACGTCTTGCTACGTGGGGCAGGCGACTCCACGTCAGCAAGCAAGTCATGCTGTTGTCCGAGTTGTGTAAGGGTACTGGCAGAGAGACTTTAACACGGCCTGTGCAACAGCAAGCGCTTAGGCGATGCCCAAAATGGTGTCAGCGCACAGGGGTTCTTGGAAAGTGTACACGATCGAAAACTACAATGTTGCTGACAAATCCTACACAGATGCTTTGCCTGTATGATTGTACGAGATGGTACCATGATGTGCCATGCCTCCGAACGCCCGTAGGTCCGCAAGCCACCCAAACTCTGAACAAAGATTCACTGATCTGAGCGAGAAGGCAACAGCAAAGCGAGCCTCTCTTTCAAGAGCGCCGCCAACCGTTCACTTGAGGCAGCATGACGGCTTAAGGATGGCGGCTTCCTCAGAAAAGAATGGTATGATGACTATTCTCAGCGGGCTCTTGTTGCTGACCTATGTGCACAGTGGTCGACATGTGATGTCACAGCCCAGACACGGCCAATAGGAAGGCAAACCGGTTTTGCTGCAGGCAGGCTGAGCAGATACCAAGCTGCCACCACATCCCATCAAGACAGTCGATGGAGGGGAGCGTCTTGTCTGTGTGTACTGATATCAAGAAGAGTGCACAAGGGACCTAAAAAGGTCACTTGGACTCTCTTGTCCCAAAAACACATGTGCCTTCATGTGCCTCATCCAATAGTCTGTGCCACAGCTCATCAATGCGTACGTGTCCCGTCTAGAGACATAGAGCCAATGCAGCATTTCGTTGACTTCCATGCTTGCAGACGCTCTCGCAACTAAGCGACACGAACCGCCTATGATGCTATTGACAAGCAAATCAGAACTGGCGTGGGCGTGAGGTTCTGGCGGCGCAAAGCCGTGACGGTCACTGCTCCGAAGCGGATGTTCCAGTGCCTGCACTCGCAGCTTTCTGCCATTTGTCAAGGTCGTTCAAGCCCTGCGTTCAGTCCACGAGCTGCACGATAAAGAAAGCAGGCGGGTGTCGGCTCTTCTGTAGCGAGTGCTCGGCTGAGCTGGGCACGGCATGGGTTGCTGTCAGCGAAGCAGGGATGGGCCTGTCACAGAGTTCAGAAACACGAAGCTTTGATGTTTCGACTTTCGATGTCTTTAAGTGCCTGGTTCGGGTGTCCCGCACCGTCAACTCCAACTTCTCCGCTGGAGGCCTGGCACAAGGGGTATTTTAACAGTATTCCAAGGGTTGCGGCTTGGCATTCAGGGAGAAGGTATGACAGAGCAGGCTCTGCATTCCACTCTCGGCACTGGATGCAAGGCTTCAGGTCGTCGAGCTTGGGCTCTTTGAAGCTCACTCTTGTGCAACACGCCGGCATGACACGATGGATATGTGCGTGGCCTCAGCGTAAGAAAATCTCCAACGCCGGGAGGGGCCAGAGGCCATCAGAGGCCAAGGGGTGCACGAGTTCTGAGGCTGGAATACCCCGCGCAAGACAAATTCCACCGACCCCGACAGATTGGGCGGACGACCATGTACTGCGCATCGTGGCGAAATGCGTCCGTGGGAGGCTTTTCGATCACATCCTTGCAACCGACAGGATCTGACTGTTCTGCTTAGCTTCCCTGGATTCGCTGCTAAGGTTTTTCATAATGCCAAACACACAGTCAGTCCTCTCTGACGTCCTCTGGCGCAGGCATCGTCTTGGCCTCCCCATCACCAGACGCTCTCCTCTCCTAGAGTCTGCGCCTTTCGAGGCGCCACCAGCAATACCAACAACCCCCCACCACGCCAGGCTGCGGACGCAGAAAGCCTCGAACTCATCCTCCTTTCCAGAATGCTCCGCCCTGCAGAAGTCTTGGCATGGGAAGGCACACTGCTTCAGTCAGGAGATTCCAAACTGAGCCTGTTCATACACATTCCTTCCCGCATCGATGCTGAGCGTATACAAAGAATCCGCTCCAGAACAGCAAAAGCTACGCAAGAGGCTAGGGGTTACGCGTTCGGAGATGCCTGGGGTGTGGGAGCTGCTTCGAAGTTTCTTGAAGCTGCTGGCCTGAGCCTGGCTCGCTCGCTGGCCCGGACACGTGGGTAATTGCGCCTGAGCAGACACGAACATTAAAATGTTCCTATCCCCCCATCTCCATCTACCTATGGCTGCAAGATATAGATAGATTCGTGCATCTGCTACATACATATGTGGCATCTGTTGCAAATGTTACATGTGTTATGCTATATATGGAAAATATGCGGAGATATACGCATGCTTACCCACTCTCCCACGACAAAGCGCCTGCCGCCATTGCTGTCATGGGGCGGGTGGGGTGCCAACATACCAGAACTCCAAAAGTTTAAGGCACAGTATTCCAAGATTCACACAACAAGGAGGCTCAGATGTCCAAACCTTCACAAATCCACACAGGAGCTCGCCGTCTTCACCATTTGCATACGCCACCATACACCGACAAATGGAGGGGTCCCTTACCCGCGTGCTACCGATGCACCAACCAGTAAATACCATTAGTCGTGTCTTCGAGAAGAAACAGCCCTTCTACATGTGGGGGAACGAAACAAAAACAACGAGCACATGTGTACTCCCCCCCCCCCCCTAAAAGAAACACCCTCAATATGATTTCAGCGAACCCCACCTGGGGGGGGGGGGTGGGGGGTGCGTGGTTTTTGGAGGGGTAAATATTTATAGATGCATACGTATATATAGTATGTACAGATATGTAGTATCTAACATCTACACATATAAGGACGTTGCTGTGACAGCGTAGCGCACCTGGCGCTCGGAGCTGGAGGAGGGCTTGCAACAGCGGCCATGGGCTCCGGGCTGCAGCTGCGGTACTGGGTATGAACCCTAAACGCCCTAAACCCCAAACCCTGAACACACTCACAATCCGAATGTAACATCGACTCTCTAACGGCTAGTAGGAGCCTGCATCCTGAACTTGCACAGCGTGCTATGGGACTCATATTCAGTAGCTGGGAAAGCCGGAGTTGAGCCAAGGCATCCCGCGCGAGAAAACATCGGGACACAAGAGGCATCTAGCCATCAGCAATGCCCCTTCAGCTGCCCCGCGTTGCGGCGACATGATCCGGAGATTGCACGCATGCAGATGAAGATGGCCATACCTTGCCCTGCCAGTAGTGCTCTCGACCCACCCATTAATAAATAATTATTATTATTACACTTATAATTACAATTATGATGATTATTTCATTTATTATTAGTATTGTTATTATTCGTATTCTTATTGTTACTAGTATTATTAATCATAAATGAAGGCCCGGAGTGGCCGCAGCTCCTCCGTGATGCTAAGCCACACCGCTTTGAGCGTTCGGGGCTGAGGTTCGAGGGCCAAGAAGAGGTTTAGGGTTTAGGGTTTAGGGTTCAGGGTTTAGGGTTTAGGGAGTCTTAAACTGTTTTTCGTCGGGGCCCTTTGCACTTCAGGCCGGAACAGGAAAATCACCAGAAGGCAGACTGAAGAATCACCAATCGTAACTAGCGATTTATTGGAGAAGGGCAACCTTCGGCCAGGTATGTATAGGGATGATCTCGCACCCTTGGGTCTGCCAGCGTGTGTCTTGAAACTCTAACCCCCACACCGTCGGACTTGCTTTGCAAGCCAAGCACCCGGTCAGAGTTTACTGCCTGTTCCAGCCGGACATCAAAACGAATTCTCGGATTCACACATCGCAAATGGACACATCGTTGCCAGAGGCGTCACTTTTGTGAGAGCCTGACTTGGCTTTGGTCAGGCTTGTCGTGTCACAGGTTACTACTTACTACTTCAGGGAGCTCCGGGCCCCCGCAGGCTATGTTCCTGTGCCGGAAACAGCTGCTGCAAGCAGGACTACAGGAATGTTGCAAGAGGTTTTGCCGGGGCACAGGTGCTCTCCCGTCCCTGTACACACCGCAATGGTCCCTCTTTCTGCATGTCTCTGCTACTTTTCTGCTACCCTTCTTCCGTGTAGGGATTCTCCGCCAGCTCCTCAGAACGTTCTCGGATGCAGGCGAAGTTGGCATCCTGCATCAATCTTCTGGATTCGGATTCCGCTTCCGCGGTTGCAGCCAGTAGTGTAGGACTTGGACTAAGTTTCGGCTACACATGGCTACACCAAGTCTGTAGTTGCTACTCTGCGCCTGCACATCTTGCCCGTTCAGACCACCCAGCATGCAAATAACAGCAGAAGTGTTCGTAGAGTCATCAAATTCAAACAAAGCTCAAACCCGACAATCGTCGGTTCTGACTGCACCAGGAGCCATCGGAAGACATGCCGAAGTACACTGTCTAGGAGCATGCTAGATTGCACCTCACTGAAGCAATTGCAACTGCTACTGCCGAGTCCAGCATCCAGGACAGAAGCCGCAAGAAACCACTGCAGTCGATGCAGCTGCCCCGCTGCTCCACCTCCCCAAAGCGGATGCTCACTGCAAATTCTACGGGGGGGCCTTGCTGGACAGCCATGTTGCGCATGAGACATCTACACTCCATTCCCGAAGTATCCGGTCTCGAATCCGCACGAAGACACAATACGTGATTTAATATGTGTTAGCGTCGGCCTCAGCACATGCTGCCAAGAGGAGTATGTTGGAGGGGTTTCTGCTTTGCATGGTGTGTATGGAAGACACAATGCAGCGGCACACTATGCTCACCTATAAAGTATACTACAAGGATATAGCTGGGTATCTTCAAGCGGTCCATGTTGGCAAGAAGTCGGCCCGTCTGAGGGTGCAGCAGGCAAGGTGTTCTGCATATCAAGTGCAGCTCGCGCCTGGTAAGACAACACCAGGGATTCTCTATGCGCAAGATGCACTTCTAGCCAGCTTGTGCCAGCGTTATATTGGTCGTGCGCGAATCACTCGCCGAAAGTTCACTGCGAGGACTTGCTGCTCTCCACGCCTACGAGGGCTAACGGTCGCGCTTGCGCCTTCAGCAGTTTCAAGTGGGTTGGCGTCAGAGGAACTCCAAGCTCACCTTAAGTCCGATTGTCAAGGCATCCATCGCAGTCCATCGCATTTGCACTGCAACGTTTTCGAAGTACTCTGCTCTGCTCCCCGTCGTCCTACGCACCTACACAATGCGATATTCGCGCGCTGCGCCCTGCGCGCCACATCCTTGGAGAGCGGCGCAGCAGCTTCCACAGCCGCGAATGGGTAAGCTTCGGTTCCTCGGTCACCACGCTGTCCCAGGGTCCAGTCGCAAACTCGCAAACCGCCACAACCGCAACATCCTACAACAGCGGACTCGACTTGATGTCTGCACTTGCAGCACTTTGCTCAGTGATGGCCGGGGCATGAGCAGACTGAGGCTCTTCTGATGAAATCCGCTCCAGGCCTGAAGGATCTCACGAATTTGAGCATCAACACCCTGTCGATGCCCGCTTTTTGCACTTTGTGCCCTTCAATTTTTGGTGCTATTTGCAAGGGTTGCCGTACTCGGGGTATGGTCACTAGGGCGTCCCGAGCAGTGCTCCCGAGGCGAGTGTCTGAAGATGTCTGAAGTGCTGAAAGCTACGGGAATCGGATGTGTCGGGGTCGCGATCCCGGCAGCTGTCGTAGGTACAGATTCAATGATATGAGATGGGCTCAAGGCTCGCGGTATATGGGGATTGCGTAGGAACTACCACTCCACCGGGAAGCTGAAGGAGAGTGCACTATTAAATACCCTTCAACTGAGCAGAAAGTACAAGGAACGAGTATTGGCAACATGTCCGAGTGTATGCTGCACTTGACACCATCTTCGTCTGCGGCCCACACTGGGTTCAGGGACAGGTTCCTCATCTGAGTCGCTGTCACTCCTCCTGTCCTCGGCTTTGCTGCCAGCAGTCCCCACCTCCTGAGCCCCGTCATTTGAGCCTCGAAATGGCCTCCTGAGCACGTGGCATTAGAATGCTCGCACCATGTAACGAAGACCTCGGCACGCCAAGGCTGAGGTACTAACAAGCGACCATAGCAAAAACCAACTGACTTGCCAGCGACCTTGACTCTTAGGAGTCAGCAACCCGAAGCTCCTCTTGCTCTTTGTCAGAGAAGAGGTGCGATCTGGTTTGACTTTCCACCTCGAAACAACTTAAGAATTTTGCAAATAATCTACTGGCATCTACTGAGTAGATCGGAGTCATGGAGAGCCTGAATACCCATCATCAACATGTCCTGGCTCCGGGGGTCTCGCTGTCTTAACATCCTCTTCGGTCTGCAGGACGCGCAGGAAGTGCACCTGATAACACAGCTTAATCAACCCAGCATGGTGTGGGGAGAGTCAAAAAAGCCAGACTCAGGCACGCAGCGCACACAGGCAGACACAGAGAGAGACAGATAGGCAATAAACGGAGGACGGACAGACAAAGGAAAGAAAAACCAACAGACGCAGACGAAGAACAGACGGAGAGCAGACTCAAGAAACATGCAGAGACACGTGAGGACACACCGAGATGGGAACAAACACCCGCACGCCCAGAACATGGACATAAACACAGCACCCGCCGAGCCCCGCACGAAATTCCAGAACGTGATGCCTGGAGCGCCGGGCAGCCCCACCTCCTCCTGAAGGCCACGTTAACCCAAAGAAGGCCAGAATTGCGACACAGTGTCTGAGCTTTCAAAGAGTGCTGTCACAAACAATGTTGCACCTCACTTGCACCTCCACGGCGTGCGGAGAGGCGCGCTTGCTCGAGCAGGCCTCGCACCCACATCGGCGAATCAAACATGCATGAAGCGTGTTGGGCCGAAACTTTTGAAACCATCTTGAGAGAGGGGCGAACGAAGTGCCTCTGATCGTCCACCTACGTTCGACCACCCGAAAGGACAGCGGCAAGCTGGAAAATTTTTTGCGGAGGCTCATGACTCGTGAGCGTTGAAGTCCAAGCAGCTGTGCGAAGATCAATCTTCAAGTCAGACAGAAGTGGTGGCATTTCGTCGCGAGTAAGCTTCCGATTGCCGTCTGTGTCGTACCTCGATGCTGGCATGCGCTTGACAGTGCTGCCCTGCTTGTCTTGCAACATCAGGGTTCTTTGTCACTACCACTCTCCAGCTTCCATGTGCCCAAGTACCACTTTGCACCCAATCATACTTGACAAAACTTCTTGAGCTTCAACATCAACAGATCGAGACAATTGAGCCTCTCTACCCCTTTAGAATCATCTTGAATCATCTTGAACCTTCCCTTGGAAAATTCCGAGTCGGTCGAGTCGACTAAGCCTGAGACTTGTCGAAGGCCTGCTGAAAGGTTCGGACCTGTTGCAACTGCTACCTTATGTCATATGTGCTGTATACTATATACAATAAACTACATACCATGCATATATACACATACAGGCACAGATAAATACGTAGACACGCCAACTAAGAGCTCAATCTTATTTACAAGTACTACACTATGCAAGATTCACATGAAGCGCCCTATTCCCCGATTCCCGACAAGCCGGTGAGTCCCCGAGCCTCGTCATCTGTAAAGCCTGCCTGGCACATTGTTTCGTAGAGATGTAGCAGGCACCACGTGAGACCACAAGTCATGCCCCACTTCTGAAAGGAAGGGTCCACCAAAACCCCACCACCTGCTTTCGCATCTGGCTCAGGATTTGCCGCCGCATGTTGTCAAGCACCTGCACGAAGTCGTCCTTGGGAGCCGCAAAGCTCCCGCAGATTTGCGGGCTCCAGATGTGTGCTCCACAAGGGCAAGATCTGCACAAAAACCCTGGGCCCTGCACGAAATCAATGTAGCGTGAGTCCCGAACCCCTGGTCAAATCTTCTGAAGGAAATCGCCCGACTTTCCAGAGATAAAAGCTCCACAAAGCTCGGAGCTGCCAGTGCCCGCCTTGCAGACACTGGCTTATCACGCTGACGCTGACACGCCGATCCATTTGTGTAAGCACTGACCTCAGGATGACAGACACAGAGAAAGCGAGTTCAGAATCCTCAATGTCAATGAAAGCCTGAGGGTAGTTGAGGGAAGAGCTTCAGGCAGTCTTGCTTCAGAACAAGTTCGTCTTCGCAGTTGCGGTCGAAGACCTGATAGTACATCGGATGCTGCAGAGACGAAAGACTTCAACAACGATGCCGCTGCCTGCTTCAGGTGGCTGAGGCACTCATCACGGTGAAGCCTCGGCAGCAAGCCAGAACCACCTGAAGAATGGATTCCAAAGGGCACGTGACATCACAAGACTTGGCCCCTCACCGAATCAGCCTCAAGAACCTGATCCAATGCATGCCAGCCCGGATGAAACAAAGATGGACAGGTTGAGGTTTCGAGTTGGGGAGTTTAGATGAGTTTAGGGTTTGCTGGCAGTCCCTCTTCCCTGTAGGACGCATGGCTGCTCGAAAGTCTTACAACACCACGGTGTCGACGTTGTCGACTGCAAAGCAAACTACTTGCGGCCAGGGTCTAGAGCGTCCCCATTTACCGCCATGCGACCTACCAACTACGACAGAACAAGCCGAAATCTTGAACGTGCTACCTTTCGTATTCAATTCCTCTTTCAGAAGAACACAAAAAACTCAAAACATGGCAGACAAAGCAATCTGCTCCGAGCCACTCTGGAAAGCCCATTCGGTCGGCGCCGTCCAGGTTCACGGACTGGCGCAGCGTCGTGCGATTTCTTGTTTCAAGGAAGCCAGCAATGGGGAGGGGGTAAGATGGCTTGTGAAGTGCTCGATGATGCTCTAGCTCTAGGGGTGATGTTATGTTGAATCCGAATCCAGGCATAAGTTGACGTCCAGAGTCAACGCTTCAGAGGGTTTCTCCTCAGTACGACCGAAGCCAAGCAAACCATGCGCAGCAAGTACACGGAGCCATGCAGGTTTGGGTCCTTGGACAAAATCACGGTGCCTGGAAGTAGCTGTCTGCGGCATCCAACCTTAAATCGGGCGCCTCTCCCAGTGCTTTGGATGCCTCATTTCACACTTTTGTATGCCGGGGTTGTGGCTCGATGCTGAAGCCCAGCCACCGCAATATGGAGGCGACCTCCAACACGCCCACCTGTCCCGAGCCTTAGGGTTCCATGGTGCCATCGTGCCACCCAACAGCACGACACTGCCCTGCACATCCCTGCACTACGCCACTACGCCGCTATGCCGCTATGCCTATGGCGAGCTCTGCAGGAGAGCTCCCAAGCGTGCTCTGGAATGTGGTTGACATGTCCATGACACCTCTGCTTGAGTCAACCACCTTCTGTGTCGAAAGCGCGAAACACCTCGAAGAACTCGTCCTAAGTGGGTCGGTGACAGAGCTCAGCCAGCCTCAAACGGCGCTGCAAAGTGAGGCAACCACGACATCGCATCGGCTGAATCCATCCTTGGATACATCAATCGCAGATGTCGGCCGGGCGAGTTGGTCACCCAGCTTCCACCATCCCAGGTTCTGCCCACAAGCCCATTATTACCCAGTGTATACCCAGTGTCCGTGCGGCAGAAATCTTGCGCCAGGTGAACAAAGCATTCGAAATCGATTTCCTGGTCCTGCGCAGAAACACACACACACACACACACACACACACACACCCGCTCGCGTGCACAAACAACAGCCGACGCGGCTCTGTGTGTTGGTCGATCTCGATCTTTCTCTCTCTCTCTCTCTCTCTCTCTTCTTCTTATTCTTATTCTTATTATTCTTCTTCTTCTTCTCATTCTTCTTCTTCTCATTATTATTCTTCTACTTCGCCTTCGTCTTCTTCTTCTTGTACCCAGCGAAGGATCTCTCTCTCTCTCCGTCTCTCCTACACGCATAACCTCCCCGAAGGGAGGCCGCCCTCGCTGACTCTCTCTTTCTCTCGTCACTTGCTTTCGTTCGTATGCTTTTCTCCATCCTTTGTACTTGCCTGTCTTTTCTCTCTGTTAACTCTTCATATTGACCACCCGTTTGCGCTGCTCTTCTTGCGGGCTTGGGGATGCTTTTGGGTGCCCTCAGCTTGAAGGGTGGAGCTGCAGTCCTTGGAGACCTTCTGTCGCTCCAGGAGGTCCTCCAAATCTGCTCGCCTCAGTCATCTTGGCGAGCTGCGTTGTTGTGACTCTGTGGCTCTCCTTGTGGTTCTCCTCCCCACCCTGAACGCCCATAAGAAACTTACCAAACTCAGCAGCACATCCGCACAAAAGACATGGACCTCGTAAACAAAAAGCACAAGCCAAGCCCTACAGGGCCCATCTTGAAGCCAGAAGCGCTTCTAGGATGTGGCTCGTCCTCTGAGTTTTTGAGACTTTTTGGAGTGCAGGGCCCAAAACCTGACCATATTGGGTTTTTGGAAAAAAGGCTTACGTCAATCAAGGTCAGGGTAGATGCAACCATGATCAACCTTGAGCGCCGTGCAAAGCAATATAGCCAAGGTATCGAAAAGCCTCCTTAGCACATGGTGACACGCTCGTGGCGAGCGGTCTCCAATGAAATGATGGAATGCACTCTCTACACTGCAGTGCTACCTTCTGTGTGTACTTCACAGCAGACGACAGTCCCACTACGATTGCCAGCACGGGCAGCACCCTCACGTGTGCAGTCTTTTACCTCCAAGTGAATGAAGTATGTTTATTCCTGGCAGCATTTGTTGCGGCATCATTACTCCACAATCCATGACAGCTTGTGCTTGGGCACTGGCCTTCAGGTCGTCCTGCCGCAGCAGGCCTGGACGGATCTTTCATCGTCTGCACAAACTCAACAAAACGACGCCACGCACTCTGTGTTTTAAACAGCGGTTGTCACCTGATCCTATGTAGTCAACCTTGTCGAACTTTCGCCTGTACCTGGCATCAGCAAGACTCTGCAAGAAATGCAGAAAATGACAAGACACAGAACCTCTCACTTGCATTCCGTAATAAACGACGTGGAACATGTGGCCTGGTGTTATTCAGCAATGATGTATTAATCTTATTTGTGTGGCAGGGGTTGGCAGAGGCACCAGGTAATCTCAGCCTCTCTAAGACGCCTTGCCCAAACCTGAGCATGCACAACACACAGGCTGCTGTACTGTGGCAACCGCGAATTATAATGTTCCAAAATTGCTGCGCAGCCAGGACTTCTGAGTGGGGCTCCAGGTACTCACGGAACTGCATACCCTGCCTGAGCTTACATGCCAAATATTTAAGGCACTTGGCGCATCGAAGCTCGATTGCCGGCTTTCTTGGCACGTGATTGATGCTGAATCACAACCGTCTTCCCTCGAAAGCTACGAGTACCTGGCAAGAACTCTGACCGCTTTTCTGCATTCATGCTGCTGTACCCTAATTGGTTGTTCCCTCAGTACAGATATGACACATGTCACACATGTCCTTCTGATAGTTTCCTCCAAGTCACTCTTCCAAGTTCTGACCACCCTGCTGCCGAGACAAGGCTCGCTTGGCTGCCTGGACACGTCGAGGCAACGCACGGTGTGTCTTGTGCTTCGATGTGTAGCACCACTGCGTCAGAGCGCAGATGAGAGTTGCTGAGTAATTTCAGGGTCTTTCATACTCAAGCCATGGCCGCACAGGTTATCTTCACGGGGCTTAAGTATATGCAGCATACCATGGCAGCGAGCTTACATGAGATTTGAAGGACGACTGCGCTGGGAAGGCCTTTTCCTCTTTCTTCTTCTGCATCTGCAGCAAAACCTGCCAGCAAACATGTCAAAACACGTCACAATGCAGGAATCTGAGATTTGAGAGCCGTCGTGGTTCAAGGCAACTGGCCTTAAAGAGTAGAAGTAGGGAGACAACTACTGGGCTTGCGTACCTGGCCTCGTTCACAAGCTTCACGCCCATGCTAAGCGTCTGTGGCCCAAACCTGGTCTGATACAACAAGAACCCTCAACACGAAACCCTAGAACCCCACCCTAAACAAACCCCACATGCGCTCGAGCTCTGCGTTCTCGACCCCGCCTTTTCATGGTACCGCCACGCTACACCTCCAAACCCTGCTCGTTAACCCTGGAAGCGCTGATCCTACACCTCAACCCTAACCTTGAACCCTAAACCCTAACCCACCACGAACCACGGAGAGCAGAGTGAACCATGAACGAGAGGCATGGGATCGAAGGGTGGTATGCACGGGGGAGGGGATGCCATGCCGATAAAGAAGGTAGCAAGCTTGCGGTGACCTGACGGCTCTCCAAAACGAAGAAGAGTCAACATAAGCCCGAGATAGCACAGGAAAACTCACCCCGAAACAACCTCAAAGGAAACCCGAAATGAGTTCAACATGTTATTTCGGGTGGTTGTATAGCTTAGCATGTTTCAACAAGACATTTGTCTCCAAAAAAACCTACACCCTCTGAACCTATGAACTCTATAAACCCAAAAATAATAACTATAAATAACTAAAAGCCCTATAAACCCCATAAACCCTGCAGTATAAACCCTTCCTTTGCTTTGTTCGACTCGGCCCGCAGATTGCAGCGACTCTGATACCCGGGTGCCAGGCAAACTCATCAGTGCATCTCCCATATCCCCTTCCGGCACCTGCCCACAACCCTCTCAGAGAAGCACAAAGAGGGCAAGAGGCAAGTGTCACCAAGCCTCGCGTAGCTTGGAGCCCACGACCGGCACGGCAAACTTGTAGAAGACCGCATAAAGGTCTCTGACCTGAGACCGGAATGAGCCCTCTGTAAACAAGAAACCCATCTGAACCCATCCGACGTAAAGTGTGTGACCGACCTCTGCTTGTGAGAAGCCCTCCGTCTTCTTGTAGACCTCGAGCTTTCGCTTAGGGTTTTCGCCCAGGGCTTTCTGCATCCCTTCGTGAAGCTATGCCCTCACCAGAGAAATTATGCTTCAAAGTCTTCCAGGGTTCCGGCCGTAAGCAAATGGATGAATTCATGGAACTCAATGGTGCCAGTGTGGTCCTGGAGGAGACAACAGCTGTCGAATGCTGTCGAGGGGCGGAACCGCCGTGATAGAAGCCGACACAGCAGCGGCATGCCGGCTCCTCATCAACCACAGCGATGGCAGCTTCCTGAGTGCCAAACAAGCAAGACAGTCAAGGGGGGAAGCAGAAGCTTGCCTGGGCACATGGGCTCTGAGCTCCAGACCACCGTCGATTTGAATGGCGTGATGCTGAAGGAGCGCATGACGCCCTGCCGTTTGGCGCAACGCGCAGATGGGCGAACTGGATGGCAAAAGCCAGCCTCGATCTCTTCGGTGTCCAAAGAACCCGAGCCATCTTCATCAAACTCCCGAAACACTCTCTGTACCTCAAGACAAGGAGACAAGCTTGCAGGAAAGTTGGGCCTTTATTGGGGTAGGCCTGAGCCCGCTCGTAGGATGTGTACTGTCCTATGAAGCGGAGGTACTCCTGGACAGGGGATGTCACAAGGGTAAAAGACCGGAGGCCGGGCAGATTGAACCTCGAAGTCGAGGGTAGCGAACTTTGTGAGCTTCTGAGTGATCTCCAGAATGACCTGCACTTTTCTGGACACGCAAGAGGGGACCATCCTGAGAGTGCTTATGGCAAAAATTGAGCTCAGCCGGTTGCAGTAGGCTGGAGAAGCGAAGGGGGGAGGGGGCAGGGGGCAGGGGGCAGGGAGCGGCTGGGGGGGCTCCGCGAGTGCAGGCGGCAGTTGGTCGGGTCCCAGACGGTTCCAGCGCCATTACAAGAACTGAGAAGAAACGAGAAGTTCACGGTCCGCCTGGACTGCAGAGGGCGATAGCTGAACGTGCAATACCGGATGCCTAGACCTTTTGCCCTGAACTGTGCAAACAACAGGCAGCTGCGCATAGTGACAGAGTGTGCACGCTCCCGTGCCGACCCAGTTGCCTTTCCTGCTCTGTCTCGAGACGCTGTCTCACTTCCAAGCGCATTCGACCTAGTATGACCTAGTATCCAGTAACCCCGTATCAGCCAGAAGCACCATATAGATATAGGTCTGTTCTATCTGTAAAGTCCCCGTGTAAAGTGAGTGGTCTAGCACAACATTGAGCCAACAATCAACCTCTAAACGGGTGAGACCTCCTCGCCGAAGCCAGGAGCAATTCCGGTGCGTTTGCGGAGCAGTGATTCTGCTATAGCGAGTGGCCCACTGACCCCAGGCAATCTGAACGGTCTTGTGCTTTGCCTGCATGAGTCTAGAAGTACGTACAAGTGTGGCATACCGAGTTGGGATGCAAGCAGCACTCGCCAAAGGGTGACACTTCCTCAGTCCACGCCACATGGACAACTGCGGCACCACCAACACAGAAGAACCAGCAAGGAATGGTGGGTGAGGCCACACGCGCATCATGCATCAACGTGGTGCCACCGAATTTCTCTGCCGGACCCTAATAACGGGGCCTTCCTAGTATGATTGAAAAATAGGACCGTATTGGACCGTTTTCGACAATGCGCCGTTGTGTTGCAGCTAAAGCGTCAGGCTGGAGACCTGCACAGCAAGTCCATTCTGCGTTTGCGATCGCGATCTGGCCACTTGAAGGACTGCATCGGTTTGCTAGACTGACCCGATGAGGGATGGCCCAGCTCACGATGACCGCTTTGCGGTAAAAGGATAAGCCAAAGAGCATCCGCTTCACTCCAGTGATTTTGGCATGGCCGCTACCTCAGCTTAACGCCATGTCACCACCGACACTTTCCACGCGCAAGATGTGGATGACAAAGCAAAGATAGCAAAGGCTCACAAGCATGAGGCCACAGCAAATTCATTGTGATGACGGGCTCGGCTTTGGTTTCCTCGTGCAATGCGACAGAATCACTGAGGAGCCCTCCCCACCAACTGCGCAAGCCGGCGCAATCCGTTCAACCATGTTCAACCCCGACCTCCAGGTCGCCACGCTCCGCCAAAAGCTCTGCGGCACGGCTGGCCGCGCGCTGGCGGATTTCAGCCTATGCACCCTCCCCTCAATACCACGGTATGCTTCTTGAAACCTTTAAACTGTCTAAAGCTCGTCGAGGACCCCCACCTCCTTGGCCACCTGCTCGCGCTTGGCCAGCTCTATGGCGCGTTGAGTCCGATCCCACTCGTCTTGGTAGGACTTCAGCTGCAGAATGTCCTCACGTCGGCCAGTCAGGAATTTGTCACATGCAGCCATCAGAAACCTAGTCAACGACTTGCGTGTGACTGAATCAAAGGTCCATAGCCACTGAGTTTGATGTCTCCGGCTTGCAGCACCCGCACAATCCACCGCCACCTCAGCTCAGGCACTTCACTCAAGCAAACGAGCCGCGCAGGCCTTTTTCATGTGCAAAGCTGCCGTGCAGCTAAGGTTCTGAAAAGAGAAAGCAGTACCCGGTCGATTGCCGCCATCCAGCGCACAGTCCATAGGCACGGTGTTAAACGATCCAAGATAATGCAAGGGCTGTAACGAGCTGCTGTGACATGTTAGTAACATGTTTCTTGTTGCCTCATGCGCTTTGGGGTGGCGTCCCCGGTCACAAAGCGGCGTGGCTAAGAACTACAACCGCAACCTCTGTTGGAGATGCTTGCCTTCACAGAAGCAGCTGAGGTGGTCTCTGCATGTATCTGACCAAGACTCCAAGCCAATGATCTGCGAGGTTGAGCGATGGATGCACAAGGCCATCCTGACTGGCTGTTGACATGGTGCCTACCTACCTAAGCTCTCCACCTGGGCATCAATCTTCAGGTAGCCCAAGTGAATCAATGCCTTCTCAAGGTCATCTACCTTGTCACACCATTCAGCATGCTTTGCTCCGAGCTGTTTCCGCTGATGCATCATGGGAAGGCTGGGTGCACCACGTCAATGTCTGAACCTCCCGTCCCAAACAGGCAACTTCTGGATCTCATAACTGGCTTGAGAAGACGGATGGAAGTCAGCTCACACTGCCAGCATTCTTTGGGGCTTGCTTTCGGGGCGCATCGCCCCTAGCTTGCGGCATCCCAGGCGCTTCCAATGCTCTTGAAGCGATAGAAAGCTTCCCTGATTCTCTCCTTGTGCCCATGTCGCTCGCGATGCAAAATCTATCACTGTAAGCGGGCTGTGCAGACACGCTGTCCTGCTCTGATGCTGGAAAGCTGGAGATGTCTTCCACCTACAGGAGCGGCAGCAAGCATCCGTGCACCCAGTACAAGCTAGCAAACCTGCGACTCAGTCTTATCAACAACAAATAACAGCAATGAAGGCCATGGCAAATCACGTGTTCGGCGCTGGAAGGCCTCGGGCCTCGGGACCTATGAGCCATGTCTTACCACTGCCTTGAAGCGGGTATACATCTGCGCAGGAGCCTCTGCAGCAGGTTCGCAAATGCTGCGAAACGTAAGTTTCCCTGACCACGGATGGCTTTCCAAAGCAACTTGATGTAAACAGGCCAGATCTTCCGGCGGATCGAGGATCTCCTTCAGCTCGAACTCGTTCCCCAAATCGGCCTCGTTGAACGCCTCGATGCTTGGTTGCTCCATGCCGACAAGAGATGTGATTTGTGAATTGTATGACGTGAACATCAAGTGACAAGTGACCGAGAGAATGCGACGGCAAACAACCCAGTCCTGTCCTTCCTTTCAAAAAGTCCCTGCATGTCCCTGGTATGTACACCTTGCCGACAAGCTACGGTGCGCCGCAGAAGTCTGGCAACTGTCTCTTCCGCAAGGGAGGCTCTCCTCACGGAGTTCCTCCGCGACTCGCCTGATTCCCAAAAAGGCTTGAGATGAAGAGAAGTGAAGACGACCACAAGAAGCAATGGACCAATGGACTCTCCAACCGATGTCTCCCACCTCCTTTGGCTGACCGTGGTGAGCCGTCCAGGAGCTCTTTGCGAGCCTGTGAAGATGTCTTGCGTGGTCTGTCTAACACCCGGCCATGCATGACGTGCGCATAAAGTAAAGAGGTGATCGAAAGGCACCCAAACCATGCGGAAGTCTGAGTTCTGTACCGCTTGTTGGGCGGCAACAACCACATCGCCGAACTTGGCCAGACAAAACAGGTGCGCCATCCAGCACAGCAACCAATCGGCATGCGGCATGTTGATGGGTTTACTGTAAGACATGTGGTCTGCGGGTCGTGAATGACCTGAGCTGCCTGCAGAGTTGAAGCTCTGCTTGATGGAGCTTTTTCGCCGGCCCTGGCGGTTTGCTCTCACGTTCTCACTCCTACGTCTCCATGTCAGACCGCCGTGATCTTAACCCTCAATCCTAGTATAAACCTTGAAAACCAGCTGCCTCCAAGGTCTTTTCGCTATCCTCCTCCTCCTCCTTGCTGCCTGGGATCCTGGCCAGAACCTGGGTGCCCTTGGCGCCGCAAAGACTTGGGGCAAACTGAGGGGGTCTTGGGTGGGGGGGTCGGGGAATGGGGGCGTGGCTTTAGTTTGGGGGTGTGGCTTGGTAGGGGGTCTTGGGTCGGGGGGTGTAGCAGTGTCGCGATTCCTAGCCATGCGTTGCTGGTGCGCTTTCTGGGATGCCTTGACAAGAAGCCCCCCGAAAACTTTCTGGGTATTGCGGTTGGGTGAGGGCAATTCGGGGAAAACTGGGACAACCAAAATTCAGGAACCCGTGTCGCTAACTCCGTGGTGCCATTCGGGGCCCTTGAGCCACCAGTTCGGGGACCGATGTGGAACGCCCTGCAGTCTGGAAAGACTTCTGGGGCATTCGATGGCTTTCGTGAGGTTCTGGGAGCGTGGTTTTGGCCCACTTCAAAGTGAGCTCGCACGGGATCAGCGCGCACCAGAAGTGACAACTATACGTGCTGCAAGCAAGCAGGCAGGCAAGCAAGCTCATCGTTCTGAAATGAAAGGGGACTGATCTTGACAATTTGTCCTTTCTCTGCTACCTGCTACCGTGCTGATGAAGCTGTACCAAGAACTCCCCGGCTTCCGACATGGCCATAGCTTCGTGTTTTGCTGAAACACACCTGCTTGAACTGGCATAACTCTCAGGAGACAGGGCGGGGTTTAATAACACATTGTCCTATTGTCCCCGCTCCAATACCTCGATGGCATCACTTTCGCTCGGATTGGAGGTTTAGGAAACCCTAAACCCTAATTAAGCCCTAAACCCTAAACCCTAAACCCCAAACCCTAAACCCTAAAGGCTGCGCGAAGCTTGGAAGCTGGCCCACAAGGAATCCTCCTTCGACCGCCGGCGCATGAAAAGGCTGGCACCAGAGACCTTCTTCCTTGGAGAGCAGCGAAGCAAAAGTACACGCTTCGTGCACTTAGCCTAAACACCTCCAAACCCCAAACCCCAAACCCCAAACGCCAAACCCCAAACCCCAAACCCTAAACCCTAAACGTTGCAGTGCACTCGTGGGCGCCCGGCAGTCCAAGCAGCTCTCGCACGCACATGGGAGATCCACTGTTCACGACCTGTATCGGCCTGCTGCGGCTGCTGTACCGGAACACTCTGAAAGTCCCAAGCCCACAAGGAAAAGGGGAGGGGAGGACAAAAAGATGGGTGGTGCTTGGGCCCTAGCAGCTGGCCCAGCATCTTCCTCTCCGCTGCCGTGCCTCGCCGGCGAAGGCCACAGCAGTCCACAACAAAAGTCACCGATTTTTGTCCCCCACTGTTCGTGTCATGAGGCAACCCCGAACATAGCTGACCTCCCCATTCTCGAGCTAGCTCAGGCTCCGACGCTGCACCGCGCGTCGGTAAGCCATGTCAAATGCCTCATCAAACTTCATGACTTCGTTGACCTGGCACAGGGGAGAAGCCGAAAAAAAAAAACACCATCTGTACTCTAAACTCCAAACCCTAAATATCCTATTCTGCCCAAAGAGGCCCCAAACAGTAAGGAGACCCTGTGAGCCCAGGGGTCCAAAAGCCACGACCGTTTCGCATTTCGCGAACACAGAAGCCGCAAAAGAACATGATGACAGCTTCCGGGACGGTCCAAAAAGTGAGCAGGCTTTGAGAAAATCCCAGCTTTCTCGACTCATTAGGAACCCCTTGGGGGTAACATAACATGAACAAATATTATATATATATATATGGACTAACATGAGTACAATACATATGAATGCAAATATGAACACAAAAACCAAAGAATCATCCGAAATCCCAAGCGCTGTCCGGAGAATCGCTCAAGGGCCCTTGGGCCGGCCTCCTGCTTGGCCTTCTTCCTCTGCTTTAGCTGCGCCTCGCGCAGAGGAACTTAGGGGGCCGCCCTGAAGAACTGTCGGGGGGCGGGGGGGGGGGGGGGGGGGGGGGGGGGGGGGTCGGGGGGGAGGGGGCCTTAGGGTTTTCTGTTATGGTTTTTGCCACGTTTTTCGGACTGTGTGATGGTGGTTGGTGGTTAATTACTAGTGTATATACTGTATGTTCCTAGGCAAGCACGCAGCCCACTCAAGCTTGGCGTGTTTTTCCTCTAAGCTTTTATCACACCTCAGACGCCTTGCCGGACTGTGCCAACAAGAATGAGCTTGGGGCGACGCTGAAAGCTTCTGACAGAAATGCTTGATGTGCTCAGCTCCAGCGGCACAGACAGCTGGAGTTTTTGTGGGCGTACGCACGTGCCACGTACTGATAGCTTTCCACGTGCCAATGATCACGATGGCGCCAGCTTCTTGGCTCTGCAAGCACTCCCTGGTTGGCATCCGGCTTCAGATCTGCGAGGTCGAATCCAAGATCTTCTCCATCTGGCTAGCCCGCAGGCACCAGCTACAACTCATCTCGAAGCAAGCTTTCGTTTGCAGCTGCTGCCTTACAGGACTTGCCGGTTGCAAAACTGCCTGGCTGGCTGTCACAGCAAAAACATGTTCGACTGCCGAGAAGATGCTTCTTCCCAAGCTTCTACGCAGATCGCATCGTACAAGATGAAATCCTGAGGAGACAAGTACTGCAAGGTGACATTAGGATAAGAACGCATCGTGCTGCAGGATGTGCAGCCCAAGGTCTATTCGTTGCACATCCCCAACATGTTGCAAGGCTGCTTGGACGGATACCTTGTGCAGACAGCAAAGCAGCGACTGCCAAGATGTGCCTGCACTGGCAACCGAGCCTCAAAGCACAGCAAAGAATACTAAAGCGTGCATCGGGCCTTGGCTGCAGAGTCCAGGGAGTCATATCCGCCGAAGCCATTTACACCACAGGAAATCGCCGGAAGTGCAATGGATTCTGCACGAGCCTTGGCATCCTAGCACCTAGAACACTGCTTGGAAAGCCGTCCTCTTAGATAATCTTCTTTACTGATGGACAAAGCCTTCAAAGAATTGCAAACCAGGCACTGCGTTTGCCAAAGCGAAGATGTTCCTGTATGTGTCTGCCAGCACCTGCTCTGCCTTCTTGTGGGCTTCCGCTGTAGACTTCGCAGAGCCAGCACAGCGGACTGCTGTGTCATAGTCGGGTCCTTGTATGGTCAAGATAAGAACAGCCGCACTGCAGCAACAGACGCATAAAGTCGACAGCTTGCAATACACCAGGCCGGCATGCAGAGAACAAACCACGAACGGCAAGCAAGACAACACGCAACACAAGGTAACTACAGCCTGAGTGGCCAACGGCGTGAATGACATGCGCGCACTGGAGCAGGTGACCGCGGGTCAGCCGGGCTTCTCCACGAGGGCAGCGCACCTTGCCTCCATGGCCAGGCGCGGATGCCACCCAGTCCTCGCTTGATGTCGTGCCCTCCACAAGAGGCAAAGACAGGCACTCCACCGCCAGCCCCGGTCCTTCACAAAAGTGCACATTAGCGTATATTCAATGAATGATTTGAAGTGCACATTCGTGTTCTGCAGTACATGCGACCTGTGACAGGTCCTGCGCGAGAATGCACTGCCGAATTCACATCCCGGCGCCCCATGTGGCGCCAGTACTCCGGCTGTTGACTTGGCTCTAGATGCACGTTAGCAGCATTCACAATACAGTCCCCTCGCCAGTCTGCAATGTTCCCTTGCAGCAGTCGCAGGCAGGTGCCAGAGCGCCGGAATGCGGAGACTAAGCGTAAAGACATGGCTGGCCCCCAGATGCCGACATCTTCGGATTTCGAAAGCTTTGCGAAGACTGAAAAGGAGTGCTGCATCAGTTGCAAGCTGCTCATCCCCTGCCACTACATCACACTGCACACCACTAGTCTGCCTGCAAACCGCTCATTCGCCGGAGTAGCACCGAACGAAAAGTGCTAAAGCCACTTAGAGGCCTGAGAAGCTTGAGGCACAAAATCAGGCTCCGAACAAAAGACGTCTGATTGACCCACCCTAAATTCCTCGCAAAGTGCCAAGCCCTGGGCAGGATTGTCAGTAGTCTGGACTTGTTGCTTCACAGTTTTAGCAAGGAAGCATGCAATCTGATGCATGGCAGCATGGCATGCAGGAGGTTTGGCGAAGAGAAATGCTGTTTCGGAGCATGGGGTTCTCGTAGCAAAAGGTAGAATGAGGTGCAAAGTCACGTGGTGCTGCCGTCGTTTGATGACACTTCTCCGGCGTGCAGAGTCAACATCGCAGGCCTTCGATGGCCATGTTGCAGAGAAGCTTGCAGACAAAGTCGGAAAACGGAGCCCGCCCTCCTCGGTGTGAGCTTCTTATCCAACGAAGCAGCGGCTCCGAGAGGATGATCCAGAATACAAGTCTTCTTCTTCCCTCGCCAGTCCTTCAAGGCCAAAGGTGCTGAAGAGGTCATGGGACGCCGCTCTTGAACACCTGCGAGCAACAAGCTTGTCACCCCAACGCCACGCATCTTTCGGAACCCACGCCCACGCCCGCGCCCACTGCCTGGCCCAGTCCGTGGGCGAATAGCTGGAGCTGATGGCCTTCGCCTCGCAAGGACTGGATTTCAACTCTCGTCAGGTAGCAAAAACACACTCATCCCAACATGGATGCTCCTGGACTTACACATCAGTGTTGCAGAAATACACACCCGTAAATGAGAAACCCCACAGTATGGACGCTGCACGTCGTTGTCCAGGCGTAAGGGCTCAAAACCCACAATCCCTGGCGGACGATGATGTTTTAGACGGAACTAGACATTTTTTTTATGATTTATCCCGCAATTTGGAGGGCCGGGTTAGCACCCAAGCAGATGCTTGGATTTTTTGTTGTTTGGTACTTGTAGAGTTGACTCAAACGACCGGTCGGTGCGCACACCCGAGATGCATGCATCGAGTATTGACCTTTGAACCCCCGGTTGCCCGAACACACCCGAGACACACACATCGAGCGTTCATCTCTGAAGCGCCCTGGCCACATCGCCCAAAGTGCGATGCTCAAACGCGGACGCTCTAGAAATTGATGCAGCTGTTTACGCTCACTTGTGTCGTTCGCGCGTTCACGCACTTATAACAAATTACCTCGCACATTTCATATGCAACATGCTGATTGTTTGTTTGTGCCCGCGTGAACAGTGAACACCATTACCTCCTCGTCAAGGTAATCCTGGAAGCTATAATCCCAAGGGCTTAAGTGTGATTCCCCAATGTTGACCCTACCAGGCGATGCAAAAGAAGGCTACTGCCGAGATCTGCCGAGTAAAGCCCGCATGAGAGCACGTTGAGAAGAAGTTCGTTTCAAGAGCCCTGCCTGCCGAGAAGTGGTGAAGAGCTGCTGGCTCCTTGCGAAGTCTGGTCCAAACGGAACTGATGCAGCAGACTCAACCCACCCGTGCCCCCCCCCCCCCCCCCCCCCCCCCCCCCGCGACCCCCGCCATGAACACACGTACGAGTACTGAAGAAGAAGAAGAAGAAGAAGAAGAAGCAGAAGAAGAAGAAGAAGAAGAAGTGCGTGTCTCTGTGTGTGTGTGTGTGCATCTTGCCTGTTGCTCCCACCGGTCCAAAGGCCATCCGTGCCAGGACGGGCTTTCCTGTTTTTCCTCATGGGGTTCTATTGCGGCGTGAGCCGGGTCGATCTTCGTAAAGTAAATGACCGCAGTGCATCGGTTGGTGTGGCCCATCTTGCCGCAGTTGCACCACTTCGCGTGCAAAGCGCCCATCAGATCACAAGCATGACTCCTGACCGCATCACGATGCTGTATCACATCACTTGAGACTTCACAGTGCAAGCCATGTGCGAACCACTGAACATGTCGACGGCGGATGCAAACCTGCTGCGTGGACGTTGAGGAAGGCTCTCGCGGCAGTCAGGGGAGGCTGCACCAAATGTTTGATACCCGACAGTCACGTCCAAGAACGAAACAGGTCGTGAGGGACGGGAAGAGATGCAATGTGGTTGCACGACGACAACCGTCGGACCGTTTGCTGAATCGCGTGGCCAGCACTATCGTTTGCTTTGGGCATCCGAAGCACCGTACAATTGGAGGAGCACTATATGCCAGGACTTCCATCGATCAAAAAGGATCTACTGCACCCAACATCAACGAACTGACTTGGAGGCAAAGGGTCCTTGAAAGCTAAAGCCCTTGTGCTCCATCAGCGTAGAGCTGAGAGTCAAGGGCAGATCCTGCATTGCTTTAGGCAGCCTTCTAAATCTACTAAAACCAACAAGGGTTCTCTGGGCGGAAAGTTCGGAAAGGAAAGGCGGCCTTCAGCCTCATCTTGGGGCTGGATCTTGCATCGCGGCTGCCTGGGGCACTTTGCGCGAGCGCCTTCGTGCAGTTACAGCATGTGCTGAAACCTCCCTGCTGTGTGCCCAGCGCAGCGCACAAGCGCTCAGGGAACGCGCCACTGAATCCGGCCTTACCCATTCGCCGATACATTCTGAAGGCTTGCAGCCTTCAGTCTGGCTACGATATGATAAGCACAAGCGCAAATCAGCCCCGTGCGGTTGGCGTCCGGTCATGCTTCAGTTGAGGTTCTCCTGCCAGGCATTGCAAGCTCTGCGATGGAAAGCTGGAGGATTGAACGCAAGCAGCCTCTTCAAGGACATGGCATGCAAAAACGACCATTGCGGCTGTGCTGGTCCGAGAAAGACGCCTAAACAGCAATGCACATGCCAGCGACCGTGCGTACTTTGTAGTCACTGAAATGCAAGTCATGACATGCTGGTAGCTTCTGCCCAAGCACAGATGCTGCACAAAATGTGAACCCTGACTTGTAGCAGAGTATTGATGATCATGATCTCCATGCCGATGTACTACTCCAAGGCAAATGCTGCGAGGAGAACATGTGCACGACATCGACTGAATCTTCTGATCTGCGCAGATTCATGCTGCTCCTTCGCATGTAACTCCGGAGGAACGTGACCCAACTGACTCAACACTTTCATGCTTGGGCATCCCTGCACTCTCCGCCATGGACTTCCAAAGCCTTTGCAATGCTCTGTGGGGCTCCCTACTACCCTGATGGTGTTGTAATGGTATTTGAAAGGCATTTGCACCAATCTCTGCAAGGCATCGAGTCGAGGCTCTTCGCACGGCACACCGCAGCTCCGCCAGCCCCTTGTGGCCCTCAACCCCGGTCGATGACGGCCCTGCTCCCACTGCATTTGGCTCCGTCGGCTGCTCTTGGCCCATACATGTTCGGCGACATTCCAAAGCATTCCAAGCTTAAGTAACTGAAGCACTTCAGCGGCATTGTTAGAGGCATTTTCCTGCAGGCCTCTGGAGGCTCCGGCGACTGCAATTCTCTGAGAGAAGGTTGGTCGTTTAGTGTGTTTGAAGAATCGACAGGGGAGTGACTCTGTGGGTGTCCCTCGCAACAAGCTTGCTGCGTGCTCTATAGTGCTTACTACTTGACTCAGGACAGGTATCGTATGCGTGGCGGACAAGCTCAGACCTTTCTGCACATGCCTCCGGCGTTGATATCTTGCAAAAGCTACTGCAAGTGGGTTGTAGCTGTGAGACATAGTTGCGCGCAGCAACGATTTGCACCTACACTGTGTCTACGTTACAAAACTGGCTGTTAAGGACACTTCGATGTGAAGGGACGACTCTTGCACTACTCCGTCCATCGACGGCAAGCGTGTGAGGAAAATCCGCTCCTGGTCTACTTGGATGCACGCTTCATCTTGGAGGCATATTAGGTGAAACACGGGGGTCGATTTGGTAGGGCGGCCATTCTAGCACGGCTGCTCTCCACTCGTTAAACGGCTGTGCTGAAACATTGTCGCGTCTTGCGACTGCCTTGCCCTAAACTTGCACTCATGGCGAAGTTGCATCTTCAGCTCTGCTCATGCCCACCTTTGTCAGTTCCGACTTGAGAGCCCAGTATGAGAAAACGTCGCACAGGCTCGGACTGCGTAGCTCATGCTGTCCACATCATTGCCATAGCCATAGTCCTCGTCTGCCTCTTCGGCCTGCATGTCGACGTCTGCGCTTCAGGAAGCGTCGCACGGGCAGACTTGGTTGACATGGCAGGGAAAGCCTAGAGTCGAATCATGTCGAAACCCAAGGAAGGTCATGGAATGCCTGCTCGCCGCTGTCGGCAAGGTCCGGCGAGAAACTGTGCGCAAGGCAGTAGAGTCACCCACACAGCTTTCCTTGTGCACGTCTGGGCGCTCGACTGCTGCAATTCTCGGACGGCAGCTAGAGCTCCCTCCAGAACCTCACATGCAGGCCAGACCCACATGTTGACTCCGGTACGGGTATCTCCAGCCTGTGTTGAAATGCCCGGAACAGTCTCAGAACATTCTGCACCACAATGCCTCGTTGGGGAAGGCCAACATCAGCGGAGGCAGGGTCGTGGTCTGTGGGACGGGCCTCAGCTCACTCAGCCCATGGGGGTGCTGAAATACTGCTTGCTGCTTGTGTAGGCACACGAAGCCCACATCTCCCAGCTCTGCCTTTCGGAGGCTTTGGGCCCCTAAACCCTAAACCCTGAACCCTAAACCCTATATAATCTACCCTAAACCCTAAACCCTAAACCCTAAACCCTAAACCCTAAACCCTAAACCCTAAACCCTAAACCCTAAACCCTAAACCCTAAACCCTAAACCTTGCTCCTATTCTCTGAGTTTCCGGCGTGGCCTGCTCGGGATTGGAGTTCGCCTGGGTGTAGACCCCGGCCTGGTCTCGGCTGCTGCAAACCCGCCTTTGTGGCTGAAAAAATCCCAACCCTGAGGGCTTTGGGTTTAGGGTTTAGGGTCTAGGGTCTAGGGGGCTTTGCGGCTTTAGGGGTTGCCAGCTCCGCTTCTAAGCACCACCAAATCCATTACCCCCCAAACCCAAAGCATTCTGCTGGTCCTTTCAGTGCTGTTGGGGCGCGTCGTGTTTCGTGGCTGCGGGGCATTTCGCGCTTAACAATCTTCAGGGAGGTGCTTCAAACTGAAGAGCAGGGGCCCTGTCCGGTACCCAAAACCTCCGGGTCGGAGGTGAAATACATTGACATACATTGAAGCGAGCCGTGAGGCCCCAAAGGCAGAGCGGCCTCCTTACAACACAGCCTTTGCAACAGCGTCTCGCGCACAGAGCTTGTTTTTGTTCACTCCGCCTTCTTTTCGCAACAAAAGTGTACGCTCCTGGTCACGATTGCTCAAAAGATGGTGGGCGCTTATGCGAGTTCCGATCTTGCCAACGATCTTGCTCACCTGCATGTGCTTAAAGGCAGCCAAAAAGAAGCGCCAAGATGTGCAGAGGTGACGGTGGCCTCGGCAAGCAGCTGGGATGCCCGAGCTGCTCTGCCACCTCGGCCTTCTACCACGGGCAAGATGGCCACGGCAATCTGTGCTGTGCTCCTGAGCGCATGGACACCTCTTAAGTCTGAGGATGTCTTATGGAAGATACCGTGGCGTGCTTTTCTTCTGAGAGAGGCGCTGCTTGAACTCCTCCAGGCAGCTCTGAAACGAGCGGCCGCTGTCCACGATCAGCGCATCGGCATCCACATCTCCTGCGTCTCCAGAAACCCTGGCAATACGAACACCAGTGCATGGCCATCAGTAGCTATGCAAGGTGAAGCTGCAGCAAGACGAAGCTGGCCTGAGACGACCTGGATGCCCTTGAGCTGAAGGATCTTTAGCCAGTCTGTATGAGGACTGTGCACGCGAATGCGCTGACCAAAGAGGCCTTGGGGGAAAGCAGCAGGAAAGTGTCGAGACTTCAGCATATGGGAACCTGGTGCATGAATCGCTTTGAGTGATTTTCTTCCAGAATTAGTCTCCAATAGAAATTTCAGTCATAGCAGTCATAGCAATTGAAGTCAGGCAGCAGAGTCCAAGTCTTTGCTGCCATTCCTCCAGACCTGGAAGCTCTCTAGACCTATTGTTCACATCTCTGAGCCCTTGATTCCTGCCATGTGACATTATCGACTGTCTTTTGCTCGCACTGCAATTACAGTAACGAATCGCCCTCCCAAGATCCTCGTGACCATGCGGGTGACGAGCCGAGAACCTTGGGAAGCCTTACTCAGGCAGGCCAGATTTGTTTCTGCTGCCCTGGGCTGTACACCGACTGTCTGCGCAGTCTACGCGCAGTACATTATCCAACGTTTCGTCCCAAAAACATCAAAACAGACATAGAAGCCAAGGAAGACCTATTGTTCACATCTCTGAGCCCTTGATTCCTACTATGTGACATTATCGACTGGATTTAGCTCGCATTGCGTTTGCAGTAGCGAATCGCCCTCCCCAGATCCTCGTGACCATTCAAGTGACGGGCCGAGAACCTTGGGAAGCCTTACTGAGGCAGGCCAGAGTTGTTTCTGCTGCCCTGGGCTGTACATGGACGTGCCGCTTGTGGCACAAGATCGAAGCATGGTTCAAAAACCTACAGAAACCTGCTTAAACGCCTGGCTTCGGTCACGCTAAGCAACTCAAACAAATAGCCGTCGTCCCGCCCTGTAGCCTTCACATCTGTAAGTATCCGCACTCATAGCAGTCCCATCCCCATCAACTCTGGTCCAGTGACTGCACACCTCCCCTTCGGCAATTGTGCTGGCAAAGGTCAGACAGGCAAACCCCTCAAGACTCTTGGAACTCTCCACTGGCTCTGTCCACACTTCACAGCGACCTGCGCTGTACTCGATGCCAGTGCATTCCGGTGTCAGAATGCACTTTGTCTTGCATGCATCTAGCCCAAACTCTGCGTGCACCACGTAGTAGTCTGGAGAATCATCATCAGGGTTGGCTCCACTGCACGCCCGCGCAGACCCACCGTCCAGAGGTTCAAAGAAAAGGTGATCAGGGAGCCTGCCGATGCTAGACGAGCTGGTCTCTATGGACTCGCTGGTCATGATGGACTCGCTTGTCGTGATAGACTGGCTCGTCGGCGAAGCGCTGCTGGAAGTGATGGACTCGCTGGTTGTCATGGACTTCGTGGACGTGATGGATTCGCTTGTGCTGATGGGGCCGGCCATGTAGCTTTCGCATTTGTGAGATTCTGCAGTCGTGACGCTCCCATTCCCTGCAACTCTGGTCCAATCACTACAAATCTGCCCTTCCGGAAGTGTGCTGGCAAAGGTCAGACAGGCAAACCCCTCAAGACTCTTGGAACTCTCCACTGGCTCTGTCCACACTTCACAGCGACCTGCGCTGTACTCGATGCCAGTGCATTCCGGTGTCAGAATGCACTTTGTCTTGCATGCATCTAGCCCAAACTCTGCGTGCACCACGTAGTAGTCTGGAGAATCATCATCAGGGTTGGCTCCACTGCACGCCCGCGCAGACCCACCGTCCAGAGGTTCAAAGAAAAGGTGATCAGGGAGCCTGCCGATGCTAGACGAGCTGGTCTCTATGGACTCGCTGGTCATGATGGACTCGCTTGTCGTGATAGACTGGCTCGTCGGCGAAGCGCTGCTGGAAGTGATGGACTCGCTGGTTGTCATGGACTTCGTGGACGTGATGGATTCGCTTGTGCTGATGGGGCCGGCCATGTAGCTTTCGCATTTGTGAGATTCTGCAGTCGTGACGCTCCCATTCCCTGCAACTCTGGTCCAATCACTACAAATCTGCCCTTCCGGAAGTGTGCTGGCAAAGGTCAGACAGGCAAACCCCTCAAGACTCTTGGAACTCTCCACTGGCTCTGTCCACACTTCACAGCGACCTGCGCTGTACTCGATGCCGGTGCATTTCGGTGTCAGAATGCAATTTGTCTTGCAGGCACCTAGTGTAAACACCGGGTGCACCATGTAGTAATCTGCCAAGTTGTCATTTGGGTGGCTTCCCCTGCATGCCCGTGCAGACCCACCGTCTAGAGGTTCAAAGAAGAGATGGTTCGGGAGCCTGCCGATGCCAGACGAGCTGGTCTCTGTGGACTTGCTGGTCATGATGGACTCGCTGGTCGTGGTCACCGAAGTTGTCAAAGCCTCGCGTGTAGTGGACGAAGAGCTGGTGAAAGACTCACTGGTGTTGCTTGGCACACTTGTTGTGACTGCATCTTTCACCTTGCAATGGCAGCAACTCAAACGATAATGTACATCGTAGGGACCCCATACTTCTGATCGCACCTCCTCCGTGAGCTTGATCCAGCAAGAACCCATGCTCCATCCAAACAACCAAGCTGCGTCACTGCACTCGTGAGGGTATCGACGCTCATCGGTGATGGGGGTGCTCCAATAGCCGGATCCACTCTCACAAGAGAGTTCATAGTCACCGCCACATGCAAGGAACCTGACGCCCTTCCAATTCGAATTCTCCCACCCGTCGTTGTAGTGCCACCTAGCCGCTCGGGGAATCAGCGCACAAGGATTCTTTCGCCAGCACGTGAAGCTCGACAAGTTCTTGAAGGCCTCAATGGTCCGTGTCCACAGTTCACAGCGGCCCGAGCTCGTTTCCACCCCTGTGCAATTGGCGCGTTTCAGGCAAAGCTCCTTGCACTCTGCTTCCTGGACTGCTTTCACCTCGTAATAGCTGTCATGATTGTCATTCATGCTGCTGCCCCGACATGCACCTGGCGACGCGGAGAATTCTCCCGGGCCAAGCTTGGCAATGAGCATGCACCCGGGTTCTCGCCCTGTTCCAGTGTGCACAGATCGCCGGCAGCAAGTGCGAAACAGGTGATCAATCCAAAGCTTCGCATGGCGAACCAGAGCGCGCAGAGATGGCTTGAGCGCTACTTGCAAGACAAAGTCGGTTAGCCCCGAGCTTGAGGTGCAAGTGAGGCCAACGCAAGCTAGGCCCCCGATTGTTGCACGGCCTGTTTTCTTCAAGCTCAGCCTGCAGACCTTTTCAAAACAAAGCACAAGAATTGCACTCATTACACCCTATAAGTATATCCACATTCACCAGACCTCACCATCAGACTCCCCAGCATACCGCCCCTTCGCTCCCCCCTCCCTCCCTCCCTCCCTCCCTCTCTCTCTCTCTCTCTCTCTCTCTCTTTCTTTCTTTCTTGGGGGCATGGGGGCAAGCCCCCGGGCGTACGCGCCCGCCCCGGTATGCAGCTCTCTCTCCATCTCTCTCTCTCTGGATCATGACATCCACTGAATAAAAAAAGGGCTGGCCGAGCTGCGGGAGCGCAAGCGATCCAAGGATGTCAGTTTCTGCGTCGCCTGCCCACCAGCGGCCTCCAACTCCAAGCCAGCGGTCCTGCTTGCAGGAATCTGGCACACTGCGGGTGCGCTCACGCTGGCAGGTGCCAGCAGCTACACAGCAAAGGCAGAGGGAAAAGTGAGGAAAAAAGAAAAAAACCTGCAGTGAGCTCTCTTCATGTCTTCTCTTGCCCCGTCAAACGCAGCCAAGTTGCCAGCTCTGGGGCTCCTCGCCGGGGTGCCATGCGCTGCGAGGCAGGCAGGCCACACCGAGGCTTCCGTCCCAAAGCCGCCGGACCTCGGTTTGATGAGAATATAAAGCTTCAGGTGGACGCCGCTGGAGACTGGACATCCCTAAGGCATATTTGGTATCATTTTACTGAAGCTACTGGTTTTTGCCGCCAAAAAAAGGCCGCATGCCTCCACTCTCAGGTTCTGGCTGTGATGGAAGCGTTGAAGTGCGTTGGTGACAGCTCAACTCCTTGATCCAAGGTCCAACTGCCGCAGCCGTCCGAATTGAACAAAAGAATCTTTTTCTGCCAGTAGTGTTATTATTCTTATTCTGATTACTGACATTAATTTTGTTCTTATCCAACCCAGAGGACATGCATCATGCACGATCAGGCCATGCGCTGGAAGCTTCTCATGAAGATCTTGCCGCCAAAGCTCGTTGATCGGCTGCCTGCGCGAGAACCTCGTCGAGCAATCCGCGTGGAGAGACTGCCAAACGGAAGGGGGCTTCAAATCCTCACAGAAAGCGCATGAAATCAGCAAAGCACAGACGCAGAAGAGTTGCACAAGGTTGCGCGGACCCGTCCTTGCGGACTGAGGGGCACCTCTTCCAGTGAGCCCACAGCAAAGCTAAACCTGAGCAAAGTTGCTGCCAAGTATTCGGGCGGAAACGCCTGCTGCTTGCAACATTTGCGACATTGCACGATGCTGCTTGGTCCTGGAATGACCTGCACCACGCCGGGTACGAAGTACGAAGCCTGTACTATCTTTGAGCCTCTGAGCCGAGGCACGGATAGATGCGAGTGACAACTCTGAGCTGTACCATGAGAAGGGCGTGACGACGCAGGGCCGCAATGACTTCCAGCTCGTCCGTACCGAGCACCGCCACAGTGTCGTCTGAGCACGCAAAGGTCGCCAGGAAGGGCAGCGCTCCCGTATCCAGGACCTGGCCTCGGACCTCCATCAGAAACTGGGTCACACGAGCAGCAGCGTTGGGAGCCTCCAGCAGCACTCCCACTTTGGGGAGCGCACTCCATGCACTGAAAGCAACTCTTGGGCTGTCTACAGGCGGCTTCTGAGCAACGATGACCATATTCTCAGATGTGGTGAGCGCGGGAGCGTACTCCAGCAGCTCTGTGCAATATCCCAGCTTCTCCAAGATGTTCGCGCGACCTGCCTCAAGCAGTTGCCTCACTTCACGCCCCATCTCAATCATGGCCTTCCTGCCGCCAAAGGTGTGCTCCCAGCCTTGTCTTGCTTCAGCCAGCTAATGGCATCACGATCTAACTTATCAATCAGAGGATACATAGTACTGAAATGTACTGAAGCGCTGCAGACTAATCAGACTGGCTGCGCTGCCAGCTCTTGAAAGACTTATCCGAGCCATTTCCGCCATCTTGGTCAACTCTCAGCCGTGCGACGGCGAGTAGCTTCACCAGCATGGGCCACTCACTGGCTGAGAAGCTGCGCTCGCGGAGGTAGCTTGGATTCGAGTACTCCTCGGGATATCTCGGGCTGGATGGGTGCTTCCGAAAACTTGTGATGCCGGTTTCTGCAACTGCCGAGTTGCAACGGCCTTTGTGTGTCCTTTCTGTATCAAAGAAGCTTGCAGTGACCAGGCTGACTGAAAACAGGCGATACCATGCCGGCGCCGTGTATATATGCGCTAAGCCGCTAAACCAACGTGCCCCAAATTATGCCGGCGTAGACCCCAAACAGTGAGGAGGGCCAGAAAAGGCCAAAGAAGGCCAGAAGTATAGAGATCCCAAATGCCTCCGGTGGGGAAGCCTCCCGTTCCAAATTGGGAAACCATGGGAAACCACACATAAGGTAGTTGTGCAAATCACAATTTAAACCACATGTGGCGCAGGCAAGGGGGGGGGGCTCAAGATGGTGGCACATGGAAAACAAAAATATTTTGGTGGCGTTGGACGTTGTCTTAGTGGTTTTGATAAGGTTATTCCACTTCTCTGTCAGTCCTACCGTCTGGGGCACCATACGGCCTTTCGAAAAACACATAGCCTTGACAGATACTCAGTAAGCAACACAGCAAGAGTTGCTGAGCTCTGAACACTCAAGAACAACACTCCAGAAGTAGAACTACATCAAAACGACAAGCCAAATCAACTTTTTCTGGACCGACAAGTAGAAATAGCTTGTGGCAACAGCAGAATGGTCACTGTGGTTTTCCAGGGGTGAAAGCATGGTCTCTCAGCAATACAGCAGAGTTAACACAGAAGTAATGATCATGCTGTTGAGCTCTGAACACTCAAGAACAACACTCCAGAACTAGAACTATATCAAAACGACAAGCCAAATCAACTTTTGTGGCAACAGCAGAATGGCCACTGTGGGCCTCAAGGGTCTGAGGCTTGAGGATGGCTCCCCTTAGTTTGGGGTGCTTCTAATTTCTTTAAAGGGGGTCGGGGGGGGAGGGGGGTGGGGGGTGGTTTATGAAAAGCAGTGCGACAGTTCATCGACTTGGGACCCCATACTCCAAATCCCACTTGCGCTTCCGCGCCGCGCGCGGTAGCACAAGCGACCCCATCCGCAGCACAAGTGCGCGCTATGGCAACCTGTACTTGCGCCATGGATGTGGTCACTTGCGCTTCCGCGCCGCGCGCGGTAGCACAAGTGAGCTTTGGAGTACGGATTCAGGATTTGGCAAGTGGCTGAAAACAGACTCTTTACAGTGAGGAATTTTGGTTGACGTGCGCTTACGCGCAGCGCGGAAGCACAAGTAGGTGAAAACGGACCATTTAGAACGAGGATTCTTGGTGGACTTGCGCTTACGCTCGGTGCGCGGAAGCACCAGTAGGTGAAAACGGACCATGTAGAACGAGGATTCTTGGTGGACTTGCGCTTACGCGCGGCGCGCGGAAGCACAAGTAGGTGAAAACAGATCATTTAGAACAAGGAATTTTGGTTGATCTGCGCTGGGATCACGAGGCTGCACTATCCGACACTTTGGAACGGGAGGCTTCCCCACCGGAGGCATTTGGGATCTTTAGAAGAAGAGCACCGACACTCCCGGGGACAAAAAGTACAAAAGTTCGTGGGGGGCCGAATTCCCTTGGGGGTCAAAAAGACGCCAACCACTGGAAGATTCGGCTTTGCACGCGTGTTGAACTTGGGGGCCAAAAGACCCAGCTGATGCTCATGATGCTCAACCCCAAAATCGCTAACCCATAATACTAATAGACTAACCCCCGGCACCCAGCCGCAGGGTTGACCCTAAAACCTAAACCCCCCCTAAACATCCCTAAACCATGTGCTTTTATTGATCCGTTGCGGTGGGCAACCCCCCCCCCAGAAGAGGCCTGAAGAGGCCACGAGAGGCCGGAATTCGCGCGAACCCACAGGGGGAGCATCGAAATGCAACGGAATTCGCGCGAAACCACAGCGGCAGCATCGAAACGCAACGGAATTCGCGCGAAACCACAGCGGGAGCATCGAAACCAAGGCCCCGTCCCACCGCCGCGCGCGCCGTTGCGGTCAGCAACCAATTCCTTTACCCTGAAGGTAAGAACCCCATTGTGCAAGCACTGTTTGGGGAACAAATGTCACGTCGAAGGCTCTCCATGCGACTCCTGTGGCTTCTCTCCCCAGTCCACGCGGGACACCGTCCGCGGACCGCACGCAAACATTCCGCAAGAACAGCTGAACATCAACACGCGCCCGAAACACAGTCGCGCACCAGGAACTAGTAGTCAGAGATTCCAAAGCCTCCGACACTAACAAAGATTATGCGTATGAACCGTATGAAGAGATGTCTCACATGTGTCCCGGCCATGGACACTGACCAATGGAGCGCAAAGAGTGTTCACGTGGCAAAATATGCGTGGACACTGCAGGGAAGGCAGATGGTCCCACAGATGGTTTAGTGGGAGGGGAGGGGGCAGTATGTTGGAGCGCACTTGCAACTTCTGTTTGTTTCTGCGCTTGCTTTCCAAACCCTCTAGCCTGCGCTCCTCAAGATACTGAATCTTCGAGTGACAGCACGGAGCAATGAGGATGGCATCCACCGAGGTGGATGCCAAGGTCTGGAGCAGCGCATCGGTCGCAGCACCACATAGATGCTTGGCTACGACACAGACACGCCCAGAGTGCCCAGATCTCAGGCTTTGGATCTTCTCAAGCACCCGCGAAGAATCACGCACATCCAGCACGACCCGCTCGGTGTCGACACGGTCGAAGCCACCGATGCCGGCATTGATCTCAAGGGTTGTCAAAGTACAGCCAGGCATGAGCTCCTGAAGTACCTGATGTCACATAAAGAAAAGAAGACACAACAAAGGCAGCAAACACTATAAAGCCACTAATGCTTGCAGATGCGAAGTCGAAGGAGCCGAGTGGCCCGACCAAGGAGGCCTTTCCCAGCACCCACTTCCACGATGTGTGCAAAGGGCCCACGTGCCAAGACCTGTCGGCAAAGACTCTCCACCTGCTGGCCATGTCTGCCCAAATAAAGATCGCAAAGGTCGATGCAGTCTGGGTGTTCTCTGAGAAGCTGAAACACGACCGAGGCTACGCGGGTGTCGGGGCCATCTGCAACCTGGCAAAGGCAACTTCCTGGTCATGTCATGAAACCCCCTTGCAACGACTCCAGCATCTGCCACTTTCTCTATCATCCATCTGTGTGCTTTGGTTCATGCTTTTGCGTGCCTTTGCTGGCGGCAGCTGCTTGACGCTATCATGCAACTTGGCAAGCAGATCCGGCCAGGAATGGTGACCACAGGGGTTGCAGTTCGAGTCCGCGTGACATGCAGCGGAGGCATACCCAGACTCCATGGAACAGCTACGCACATGCAAAGCAGCGGAGCGGATCCTTCCTGCGGGGATTGAATTGAACACGACTGGCTGCAACAGGAATTTATGTGAAGTGCTTTGGGGTATAGGGTTTAGGGTTTCGGGCTTAGGATGGCTGAAGATTCCTGCTGTGCATAGCCAACAAGCTTTGCATAGCCAGCCTTGGGCAGGTCGCTTACCCATTCTCCGACGAAGACCTTCCCGCTCTCGGCATAAAAGTAGGAGCCGCTACCTTCTCTCATGTCCTGGCAGGAGGCCACTCTGCCCGGCTCTGCCCTGCAACTGTACACAATAAAGTGACGTTCAACTGAAGAGCGCACGTTGAGCCAAAAGCCCTCGTAGCAGTCACCATTCGCCTGGCAACATCCGCACATGGTCCAACGGTGGGAACTCCGGTCCAGTTATCGTCCGATGTTTATGTCTGGCTCCCTTACGGCCCCCTCAGAGGCTACTGGGCTACAGTTCACCCGCAGCCTTCGTCAAGGTCCCCTGCCCAGATCGAAGGCCATTGCTCCACTCGCCTATGTACAGATCGCCTGAGAAGAGTCTGCAAGGCAATGATGGCCGTGGAGCTGCACGCAGTGCCGCAGTGAGGGGAGGACCGTTGCTATATCGCAGCAATCCCTGGCCATTCATCTTGCCCTGCACAGGTCTTGCTCACAATGTGAGCCTTGACGCAGGGCACACCACTGCCTGGGTCCAGTCTCCCTGGAAGAACTGCCCGTCTTTGAAGAAGCACGTGCCACGACCTACGCACAGTCAGTGGCTCTAAGCAACCTGCATGAAGCATCACGAAGCTGACACAATGCCTAACTGAGCCAGCTGAGCCAAAGGCCATGTCGTTTGTCGTTCTTCCAGCCGCCGACATAAAGCTTGCGAAGCTTTTTCGCCTCCGTGTCCCAAGCACCCAATCACTGCAACCAGCAGGTCCAACGAGGATCAGCCTTGCCAAACGGCACCCAGAGCGTCCCCTCGCCATTCCTGCTAGCGGACAATGCACTTCACACTGGTTCTGGTGGTGGGTTCTGTCTCGGGCTCAAGCCGCATGCCGTTCGCCCATTGGCCCTCGTACTTCTGGCCGTTCGGGAAAACCTGTAGCCGATTGTCTACATTTAGGTCGCGTGCAGCCCCCTCCATCTCACAAGCACTGACTCATGTGTACAGGTTGGCAGCCTGCACGCCATAGCCGTTTTTCTGGTTGTCTTAGCTCTTGCAAGGTGCCATCATGAGTCTGCAGCATCTGGAGTTCAGCGTGTCCAAAAAACTCACACTGTCCCAACATGCCGGCCGAGCAGCTATCCCACTCGCCCTGGTAACTAGCTCCTTTTTCTACCTCCCCAGTCTTGGAACCATCCTGCGACAAGGTGCACCGAAAGCTTCGCAAGAAGATCAGATCTCCATGTCAACAGCTGCTCTCGCACCCTCCCAGTCCTCTGCGATGATGTGTTTACCTACCTGCAGCATGCCCAGCATGGTCAGCATGCCAACCTAACAAGCCTCCTCTTGCATACTTTCCGTTATACTAAGTTGTAAATATTAAAGGCTATAATTCGTATGTATATATGAATATATATATATATGTATAGATATAGATATAGATATATATAGATAGATATAGATATATATAGATATATATATAGATATATATAGATATATATAGATATATATATATATATATATATTCTGCATCCGGCATTTTGCCGTTCCAAGACCCGTACCCAGTAGATGGTCCCTCGCTGACCGGTCCTGAGCACTGGCGGATTGCCCGAAAAGCGTGCAGCATAGGTGAACAGTGGGGGGTAGTCGCTTTCGGGGTGGTTCCTGAACATTTTGGGGGGTTCCTATAACAAAGATCAAGGTATTGTATTTGTGATCGTTGCATTCATCTAGTTATTTTAATGTGTGTGTGTGTGTTTTTTTTTTACTTTTTCTGGGGTGGGGGTGGTGCATTCAGAGAACCCCGATTTAGTTTGGGAAATGGCCATTTGTGTACGCTGAGCGAGTGCATGGCGTTTGATCACAAAACCTCGCCCCAAAACAATCGTGCAAGTCCCTAATAGACCATGATAAACCCATAGAAACCCCAAAAAAATTTCTCAAGACGACCTTTAGATCAATCCCCACATGAGAACCGCAAAAGGAAGAAGTTCGAGAGATCTCAAGAGCAGCGCCGGGGCCCCGACTTCATGGCTTTTCGATCGTGCTTCCTGCAGCCCAGTCTTTGGGAGACGCCAAAGGCGCGGGAGGGGGGGGGGGGGGGGGGTGGTTTGAGGTAAGAGAAATCTGTGTTCAAGTGAGGCCCCCGGCTTCCAAAGAACTTCTGGTCTGGGCCTGGAGAAGACGGGGAGAGATGTGCAGGGAGACCGATTGCCCTCCATCCTGGGCTTCCCGCGCTCTCATGGTCGCCATGCTCACCTGCCTCTCTTCGGCAGGCTCATAGGCCGGGCCCTGCTCGCAGCAGGATGATACCGAAGGAGGGTCGACATGGAATCACTATGGAGTCCACGCCATGGAGTCACACCATGACCTTGGAGGACGGCGCGATCGAGGGCGACATCGGGGAGCCTGGATCCGCCATCCTTGGCTTCAGGGTTTCGCAGCCCCTTGAAACGGCATTTTCTCATGAGCCTGACAGGGCCGTTGCCCCCCAAGCTCCCGGCTGCGCAGTCAGCAGCAAGGCGGCACAAGCACCCCCGGTCACCAGCCAACTACCATTAACGACCAGTCCCTAGATTGATTGACTGGAGCCGAGACCTCCCGACACACGATGGCACATGGAAGCTCGAGTCAGCTCAGTGTCGCTCTCCTACTTGGCCCTTTCGGAGAACCTCATGCTAAGCCTTATACTTCTACATGTCTCGGACCTTCATGAAACTGATGTGCAAAGCCAATTATTGAGCGCCTACACCTCACTTACCTCCTGTCATCCACTTGGGTTTACAAAGGAGAGTGGGCCATGCAAGCAAGAGGGTGTAGGCGTCAAACGTTGGCAACAGCCAATGCCCCCGCTTTTCACACTTGCGGGCTGTCAGGCACTCCGATGCTGGACGGCGCAACTCCATTGGCATGCGGCTCCTCCAAGACCATGTACCTTGAATAACGCCTGGGCGCAGAGAAGTGAAGGATGTCGGAGCGCATCGTACAAGTACTATGCCAAAGCTGAATTGCCCGCCTTCTCAGGAGCAGGACATAGCAGCTGAGACAACAGAGAATGCAGCCCACAAAGGCCCCCATCGCGACAAAAGCGAGGATGTTCACCACCTTCCATCCATCACAGTCAGCAGAGTCAAACATTCAAACACCACATCGGATCAAGCAACTTGTGTAACTTTCACTCAGAATCCTGCTACTAGTATAGCAAGTTTCATCCCCATCCCTCCCTCAGACTCCGCGGCAAAGCGCCAAGGAACCCCAGGACACGGGCGCCAGAAATCTGGTGGTTTCGGAATGCCCCCCCTGCAACCGCTGGGCGCCACGTAGCTCACGCGCTGGCCTGCGGCAATCCCACGCGTCTCGTCTGATGATTCGTGCTGTCATTCGAAGAGCCCTAACCAAGGTTCGGCCTTTCACAGAATCGCACTGGTGGGGCACCGTCATCTCCCAGTCACCTGCCACTGAAGGGCAAGACACCGGCAAGACAGATCCTAGACAGGGCTTAGATGGGCTTAGTGTTGTCCAAGGGGAGTTGAAGTCAAGTGAAGGCCAAAGGCAGACGAGGCACCCTCTTGGCATTGTGGACATGCCAAAGGCGTCGACCACTCCAATGCCAGGTCCTCGCAGCCACCTAAGCACATGGCTGAATTGCCGGACTCCAATACCCATAATAAAGGAAAATATTCCTTAAATCATAATAGGTATCCTTCTATGGTTTAAGGAATATTCCTTAATTCAGGGGTATAGTGGAGTCTCTGGGCCTAACCCTTGGGCCGATGCCTGGAGTCTGCGGCCGCATGGCGCTGAGAAGCTTCATGTCCAGGTTGTCGCGTCGTGCGTCTGGATCACCTTGGAACGGTGCTTTGATGAGCTTTTTGAGTGCTTTTTGCAACCCTATGCCGCCTAATTATACCATAGACCTCCCGGAACCCTAAACAGTGGAAATCCCTGAGCAGTATACCTATACACCTCGACATCGCCAAATGAAGATACACGCCCTACGCCTCTAGCTGCTCCCAGGAGGCAACTTAGAAGTATGTGAAGCTCCCGCCGGGTCCGCTGTCCCATCTGGTCCAATGGCTCACATTGACCAACAAAGTTCAGCCAAAGGCCCGGAGGCTTGCCCTCGTTTGGCTTTATCTCACGCAGGGTTTCGGCAAAGGGCCGCAAGGCGGAGGGCGACGAGACTGTCGCGTCGCACGCATCGCCCTCGCTGCTGGCTCTTGGAGGTAAGACTTCCCAAACGTACGCTGCCGCAGCTGCAAACTGCTGCGAAACGCCCGGGAATTGCTTGGGCTCGAGTAAGCTCATGTAGTAGGTCCGGTCCTATAACAGGGGATGCCAAGCAAACATAGTCACAAGCAGGCTGTGAGAGGGCTCCTCCGGTCCTCCACCTCGATAGCTCTGAGACCATTCACTTGTGAGGAGTTCCAGGCGGTCAGGATGGACTGGGAGCTCCACTGCAGCCTGCCGGCACCCCCCAGGGTGACCAGCGGCTTGCAGAAGCTGGCCCCTGCACAGGGACCCATGAATTCGCCCAACGAGAAGCAAGAAGAAGACAACAAGCGCATATGGCATGCATAAGCGCACGTAAGCGCAATATGAGGCGAGAGCCTGGGTCGCTGAAGGTTCCAGGACCACAGGGAGTGCAGGTGGCAGAACCCCGACCCCGATTGCCGCTGCTCGCACGCCCAGCAGGGCATCGGCTGCAGCCTGCAGAATCTGGGCAGCAGCATACGGCTGCAGGATAATCATAATACATCATAGTACAGTCCTCCCCAGTCTTGCCGACTCTTCCCTGCTTTCATCGTTTCCGGGACCTTCTTGGACAGGCTCGCCGCCGTCCATGGCCGTGCTCCATCCCGGTGGGCAGGGATGGCACCTTGGTTTCCGGATTTTCCCGGTTCAGATTCCTCCCATAGTCATGTTTGCAGGAGAACCGGCCCCTGAAACGGCTGAAACGGGTGCACGAGGCACACCGTGGAGTTTACCAGGCCGCGGCCCGGGGGACATGTTTGGCATGGCCCTGCTTGGCTGGCGCCTTTCAAGGTACGGAGCTGGCCCAGCTATTACAGAGCTCGCATTCGATGAGGCACGTAGAGAAGAGCACGTGATGGGCACATGCAAATAGCGGCACCTACAACATTGGTCACGGAGACATTCAAGAGCCGGAGGCCACTTCCCTCCTGCTGCAGGCTGGTGTCTGCCGCCTGCTCCTGTACACGACACGGCGCATTCCCAGCATTTTCAGCTGCGGCCCCAGCCCTTAAGAGAAGTGTCCTCCAACTTTGGACCAGTGTAGCGCCACACCCAAGTCACCCAATGCCATCCGGGCTCCATGCCTGGGGGGACTCCGATGCAAAATGGAACACCACAGAATCTCGCAGAATGATAAGGAGGTCGAGCAATGCGGACTGGACTGGGCTTTATGTTGAGGGCACGAATTACCCACATACGCCCACGTGGAAGACGCACATTTCTTACCCAAACCTGCGTTGCAGCCGAGGCTCGCAACGAAAAATGCAAGCGCCCGTCCAGGAGAACCTGAGCCGCCATCCCTGAATTGGTGGACTGGATGGAAATCTAGGCTGTGTGTTGGAGGCACTGCCACATTCAAGCGGGCTTTTCGATTTCTTTTAAGGGACTAGAACAAGAACGTCGCCCCGGTTTGCATTCAGGCTCGGAGATGCTGTCTGACTTTTACACTTGAAGCGATTGACAGGTTCCCAGGCTGGCCCCAGCAGCTAGCAGCGTGCCACTTGCTAAAATTCTTGGGCGGGCGGGGCCGCGGATTGGCGCCGTACAGCTTGTTTTTCGCACCATGCGACAGGACAGCTGCAAGTTGGTTGAAGGGAAGGGCACGGTATTGTCGGCGACGGACAAGTTTGCAGTCTACTTGCCCTATCCGCTCAACACAACGCCGAGACCTGAACCGGCAGAAGTCAGTTTCTGCCCAAGCCACCACTTCTGGCTGTTGAGGTTCATGATCGACATACAGAGCACCCGCTGCCGACCAGGCTCCAGCAGGCTTCTCCTCTAATGTAAACTTCATCCGCCCCGGATTGGCCAAGGAAACCTCAGATCGCAGACATCCCAGCCCAAGAAAGTTGAGAGTCATGCTGACCAGCGTCTGAGTGCACAGTAAAAAACATGCCCACAACCCACGGGTCCACCATGCCCCCACCCTCGCGCCAGCTTCCTCCGGTCTCCGCCCCTGCTCACCCACGCTCCGGACCCTCGTATCTAGCTTTCATGGAGGCCCCGCGGCCCCCCTCTTCTCAAATATGCGTGCAGCACACGTCACGGAAAGCCATGGCAGACTCCACTCCTACACCCCAAGCCCCAGAACCATCCAGAACCATAGGCCCAAAACTGAAGCCGAGTCCTTGTCCTTAAGAAGGCCGCACGTGTTCCACACCTTCCTGGCCTCTGTACTCTCTTTGGTAAACTCCCCTTAACTCTATGTTCTCAGCTCCGGAAGGCTTCAAATACCAGAACCAACAGAACCAACCACAAGGGTTTTGCGCTTACTTAGGAGTTGGGGTGTGGAGATGCAAGCGCAAGAAGGTCTCAGCTTGGGCGAGCTGATTATCTCCATTCGGGCCAAGATGCATCCAGAGTCAACAGAGCTTGATCTGCCCTGGCTGAAAGCAGAGCCTTTCGAGGATTTTTGTGAAGTGCCCAGTTTGCTGTTTGGCAAAGGTTCGCATTCTTGGGCTGTGTGTGGGTTTGTGCCTCCGCTTCGGCGCCACCACCTCCAAGGAAGGCGGTTCCGACCTCGACGGCGGAGCCATCCTGCGAGACAAAGCGTCCACGGAGCCACGGCAAGTCTGCAGAGGCTTCGTTCCAGCATGGACATTGCGAGCGGGCCACGGGTGCTAGCTGCCAGGAGTGTGACTGATCTTCGACGGAGGGTCGGCCTCGACGTCCACAACAGTTCAAGTGTCAAGATGTCTCAGGCCCTGCCAGGCTCCCCTTGGCATGCGGCCCCAGATCCAGGACGTAAAGTTCTCCGGGAACACCTCCCATCGGTTTACTTTCCTTGCGCTTCAGGGATGAAGGTCTCCGAAGTTGCTAAGACAGATGAAGCTGGAGTTGGCTAGAACATGCTAGAACGTCATGTTTCATCATACATGCAGGCAAAACACAAAACGGGCAGCGCAAACTTTGGCGCTGGACACGTTCGTGCAGGACGATTCACCTAAGCAACACCCACAGTGCAGGCTTGCGTGCGGCAAATCTGGGCCGTTGAGGTGCGGCAAGGAGACTTGACTTGGGGGGGGGCAGGGCTATATAAGTGGTTTTTGCGTGACAAGCGTTTGTGGCTTGCAAGTGAGTAAAAAGGCTGAGCCTCACTTCCACCTGGCCTGAGACCATGTCTCGGACCTCTTAGGTATCGTAGAGTCGGTCTTCAGACCGCCTGCTGAGCCCCTGGAGAAGTCTGCTCACTTTCCCGTTCGATTGAAGATTGCAGCAGGCAGCAGTGCTTCAGCTGTCGCACAGTAGGAGTGTTTTCTGTTTTTGCTGTCGTGGCTTTGTTGTCGTCGTGGCCGGGGCGCGCCTAGTTTTGCAATTGGCTCTTGACTGTTGCTTCGAATGAAACGAATTAATGCAGGTATCAGTCCTGAAACAGTCTTCCTCTGTCGGTGCTGCGCGTTTCGGTGCTGCCAAGGGTTCAGCGTCCCAAACCGTCTGGAAAACATCTTGGCAGACTCAAGTTCGGTGCTTGAAACTACAATGCGAAGGTTTACAAGGGAATGACTTTAAGCCTGAATGCCCATGAGCAGCCCCCTGACGCTTGCTCCTTCAAGCCTCCTAAAAGGAGAGTCCGAGCCACGCAGGTGCCACCATTGGGCCTCCACCGAAATGGCTGACAGGGTGGGCACTGCCGAACCCTCAGCTGCACAGTGCTTTCAAGCTGCTTGCCGTGTCTTTAAAAAAAACTTTCGGCTCTTCACCGCGCCAATAGATCTGACAAGCATCCTGTTGTTCGTCGTGATGCCAACCATTGCGTTGGCCGAAAGTGTCGTCTGGCAAGTCATGGGCTGCCGCCAGACCGCATGAACCATGGTTTTGTTTCCTCGGATTCACAGTCACACAAGCAGCTGTTGACTAGCATTGCAACAATGCACACACACAGGCACATGCACTGATCAAGAACCCCTGCATAATCACGTAATTTCGAGTGTATAGCGGATGAGTGGCATGTAAGTCTCCCCACATGCTTGTGAATGTCTTTCGGCAAAAGTGTAGCAACAAGCAGGCGTTGCGATGCTTCCGATAGAACTATATATATATATATACATACATACCAATCTTGGTGCCACAAGGGGCCCGCAACCGATCTAGATGCCCCTGACAGGGGGGGGGGGGGGGGGGGGGGGGGGGGGGGGGGCGTGGGGAAAAGGGGGTTTTTAGGGTTTAGCGTTCTTGCACCTCAGAGTTCATAGCGTCTCCTAGCTGACTCGGCAGGGCTTCTCTGCATATACAACAAGATGTGGTCAGATGTGGAGAAGATGCGCAAGCACTCTGCCTGCAGCGCCCAGGCTGGGTGTTGGGTCGATCACATTGTGCAATGCGGTTTAGGGGCCTAAAAAGTCAACCACACGCAAAGATGTAATTCATAAGCTTTTGTCGTTGGACCCGCTGCCGCGAAAACCTGGCATTTCTTAATTCTGCATTTGGGTCGTGCGTACTTATATATGCGAAAGTTCGCAAACTTCGGGTTTTCTGTGAAAGGAAATCAACAGCCATGGTTATGCAGGCAATCCTGTTTTAGTTCCCGATTGTTTGCAATCATGTTCCTTCCCTAGGTTGTCTTAGAGTCTTTGCGATTTTTTGAACTATTGCGAGAATTCTTGAATGTTTGCACAAGGTTTGAGATCTTACGAAAGCTTTCGCATTTACTGTTGGGCAAGATTCGATTTTTGAGCTTTCGACGTTGCGCTGTTTTGCGAAAATGTGCGAATTCAGATCAGCCACATAACTGAGGCTGACCTGTACTGGCTGCAAGGCTTCGCTGCTGATCTGTGTCAGCCTATCCAGCTCAGCCCCATGTACTATAAGCCCAGGTAGGCGCTGACATTTGCCCCCCTCGCACTCATGTGAAGTTCAGCGTCCACGGCAAAAGACGGAATCGGACGCCGCGGCCTTGCTGGAGTTCCACGCCCGGTAAACGATCCTGATGCGGACATCCATGGTACTGCAACGGCCAGTAGTTGCCAAGACCAGCCGCCAAGGTTCTGTGCATCTTGAACCGTACAAGTCCGCCGGACCTGTCGAGGCTGAGCTATGGTGTGTACGAAAGAGATGCGTCTTGCATGGCACACGAACGATGCCTTGCCTGGCAAGAATCTGAGCCAACACTGCCAGCCGGGGCCCAAGAGCCCCGAGGGCATTTTCGGCAGAGAATCCGGTCCACCTGCACCTCAAGAAATTTCAGCAAATCCCCCCGAGCTCCTGGTAACCCGCCTTTCTGAGCCGCGTGCTTCTGAGTACCTGGGATGCAGGTTTTCCACAATCCACGCGGCTGCGCTGCAATCACAATTTACACACCTTCCTCAGCTTCCAATAAAACGAGGGGCTGATCACGGCCGCAGGTCTGGCAGTGTCCGCTGCCGGGACTGCTCAGCACCTGAGAGCTTCAGTGTCTTCCAAGACGCGAGAGTCAGACCCACTCGTTGTTGCATCTTGTGGCCTTCGATGGCCTTCGCCTTCTTTAAATTGTATCCTATATTCCGGTACTTGCGGAGCAATGTGCCGAAAAGCCTTTGAAAATCTTGATCGTGTGCGGCCGTTCATATGCCTTCCAGGCCATTAGTTGTAAGAAAGGCGGCGCAGACTGAGCGGCGTTGTTGAGGGCCGAAAGAATGTCAAACGCTTCCAAACTTGTGTACGTGACAGAGAGAACAAATCCAGAAAAGCAGGGCCCTGATCTGAGCATAGTGAGCTACGATGTGTCTACGAGGCTCGAAGCACACTGCGGTGGAAGTGCAATGGCTGCGAGTTCAGCCCAGGCACCGAGCAGCTGCGGCAGGTCAAGTCGCCGTGCGCCGTGCCTCAGGACTCACAGCCACACATCAGCACCCAGCTGCTTCTGAACCGGTCTAGCTGTGCAAAGCCTGCCCCGCCTGACACTTCTAGCAGCTGTAGCCGTGCACGATCTTCCCCAGCTGTGGTTCCAAAATCCTGTTGCGGCGCAGAATCTGAGCAGCAGAACTGCTAAGAGAGGAAGCACATGGTACAGTAGCAAGACCCAAAGCCCAAAGTCCTTCTTGTACGTCCACGTGAAGCTGCGAGAGCCACGAGAAACAGGAAATCTGACATCTTGCCAGGGAGCCACTTGAGAGCGGAGGGATCCATTGAAAACCTCGCATGTCTTGAGCCCTTGCAACTCGTGGAATGCCAAAAAAAATGCGAATGCGGAAGTATGATATAATACAACACTATAGTCACATAATACACTCAGTTGCCAAGGTTAAGGCCCCGGCTGGTTCACCGTCAATCTCAAAGACAAGGCCGTCGTAGCCCCTGAGTCAAAACTTGCGATGAAGGCGCTCTGCAGTGACTTGCGACGCACTCTATCTGAATTCATCTGTCAGTTGCAAGTTCTCTGAACGGCTCTAACACAATAAAGACGAGCTTCATTTCTGCGTCCACTGCATAGCGGAAGCGAATATAGCCGTCGCGAACAAAACGTACAGAATACCTGAACTCATTCACATCCATTTCTCCCTCAAGCTGTCCATAGGAGCCTACATGAAAGGCGACAAAAATTGGCAATGATTCACATCTGAGGGGCGTTAAATAAGAGAAAATCCAGTGAAAGCCGCGGTTGTCTCCAGAGTGCAGGAAGCTGCCAGCTGGGTCGGCAGCCCAGAGTGAGCAACCTTCGAGCGCTTTTTCGTGTCTGCGGGTGTCTGTGGCTTCCCTCGCTCAGCCCTGGGCCTTTCTGTGAGGCCTCCCAGCTGTCCGCGTTGGTCAAAACCTCGCCTCGACACAGAAAGCCCCCTCACATTGCTCTGCCCCCCCCCCCCCCCCCCCGCCCCCAAAACCCCAAACATCCCACGAACAGCACCCCCGGCGCGCCGCTGCGGTTCGTTGTGGGTGCGGCCTCCCGCCTGCAAACGCTCTCTCGTACCATCTGCAAAGCTTATCACAATGCAGGAAGCCCAACCTGTCAAGGCTGCAGCGGGTGCTCGGGATTCTGAAATACAACCTCATCAAGAAACAGGAACTCAGGCAACTCAGGCTGCTGGCTTCAGGCGACATGATACCCCAGCGCTCTTCACGCGGCGCACAATATAGCTTACTCTGCCAAGCAGCGACTCGCCCTCAGCGGCAGCGTCGGATGCCAAGGTCACCATCCGCTCACCTGCAAGTGCGGCCAAGGACAAAAATCTGTGATGACCTGTCTAAACACATCACTGCTCTACTAGGCAAAAAAAAAGTCGGAAGTGATGCTTGAGGAAGAAGCCATCCTCGCGGGTCACCATGTAGATCGGGATCCCCGCAGCCGAGCCTCACATGCCCAAGAAGCAAACGGCCGCCGATTCTTTGCACAGCGCCACTTCCCTGTTGAGCCCCGTCACTGTTTGGTGCCGCTGCAGGGATGAAATGCGGCCTCACATGCTTCTTGGGTCCAATCTCAGCCATGCAAAGGTAAAAGCGTGGCCTGTGGAAGAGGTTGTTGTACACAATCACGGCCTGAGCGCTGTGTGACATTGTGTGCGGAAGCATCTCGTGGGCTGTCACACCCAACCTTGGCACCCGCAGCTTCAAGGTGCTGCGTCTTCGTGGAGAAAGGACAGGTCCCTCGAGGTTGGTAGAGTCGCAAGAGCGCGCAAGGACTCTACAACTGACACCAGGCATGAACTTCATGAACACTTGGCCTCGTAGTACCAGAACTGCTGCACCGTCGATTGCGCTGTCACCGCCTCTACGAACGACAATGCATGGGTGGGCAACCTTCAACCTTCATCTGCAGTGTGCTTGCTCTTGAGAGGACATGTTGAGGTTGTTGCACAAGTTGCACACTTGTACCCAAGTCAAGTTCTTCGATTGTTTTCTCCGTGCATAGGTTCAATGCACTTCAGTCCCTCTTGGTCCAACCCCAGACGATGTGACACGATGTGCCCAAAATTGTGCGTTCCCATGGCTGAGGTTGTTCTCAAGTCCGACACCGGGAATGGTGAGCCCGCAGCTGATCGGATCGCAGGCCAACCCATCGATGGTGTGGAAGGGCACCTTCGCGCCGGCGCGCGCACACACAACACACAACACACAACACACAACACACAACACACAACACACAACACACAACACACAACACACAACACACAACACACAACACACAACACACAACACACAACACACAACACACAACACACAACACACAACACACAACACACCACACAACACACAACACACAACACACAACACACAACACACAACACACAACACACAACACACAACACACAACACACAACACACAACACACAACACACAACACACAACACACAACACACGCACAACACACACAAGTATGAAGCTTCCTCTAGGACCCTAAGAAACAGGGGGAAGTCAGCGGCATAATCTTTCAAGCAGAGCTTGGCAGCGCCCAGCTTCATCACAAAGTCACTTGAATATATTGGCCCTTCACTCCCCGACTGTTTCGGCAATTCTTGTTCTCTGTCACATCACGCCGCGGACCTGCAGGGCAACGTCCGGCAAGTTGCGGTTCCAGGTGCCAGCCCTTGAAAGCCGCGTCATGGCAACAGAGAGCCAACAGAGAGCCATCACGGTACACAGCGGCATTCAGGAAAACTTCACTGATTCAGCTTTTTTCCGGGGGCCGAACCGGGTCTCTGCCGAAAGGCCTTCAGCTTGGCCAGCATGCTCCAGGTGGAGAACCTGGAGAATGCGTCATCCCATGTCGGTAGCTGTCAGCGTGAAGCGTGAAAGGGCTGAGTGCCCCACGCAGGCCAGCCGAGCTCCTCCACCCACCGTCCAACCTGATTTCAGCAGAACAGCAGCCGAAATCAATCTGCTGCTTCAGGAGTCAAGGCTTTTCGCCTCGTGAAGACATGTGGGAGACTGGGTTCACTGCGAGAATCTGCTTCACGGTAGAGGCATGATGTCGATAGCCCCTCCGGCCAGGTCCTCCATGAGGAGAGGGCACCAAAACAAGCCGGCACAAAAAGCACAAGGCCAGCAAGGCCTGGCCCAGTCACCCAAAGAACCATCCAAATGGCCTTGCTCACTTCAAGGGCTTTGATGGGGGTTCAAGGGTTTTGATGGGTTTACGCACGAATATGCGATGGAGGGGCAGGGGGGGGGGTGTAGACGGGGCTGCCCCACATCTCTGATGGTCCAAAAGAAGTTCGATGACCCCCAAAACGCAAGATTGTCAGCAACAATGAAAGCCAGCTGCTAAAGAGCGTGATATGTGAAGTGCGTGCTATCCTTAGCACATGCCGGATCTCGCAAAACGCGTGAGGTCCACTCTGAGTTCCCATCGGCCGCCGCCCAGAGAGAAGCGCCCCGGAGCGCATCGTGTGCAGACGGCATCCAGCTGGCCCTTGACTCCACGCTTCTTTCCTGGGCATTCCCAAGACTACCAGCTGTCTGACAACCAATGAACATGATACTGTAAGTCCTAAACCCTAATGATACTGTAGATACTCTGAATTGTGCCTTTCCCGCCGCCCCTCCTCTGTATCCGGTGGCTTAAGTTCTTCTCAAGCTGTGCAAAATGCAAGCGCTGCCCAAGTGGCCACGCTGAAAACTGAAACAACGGGCATGCTGCAAGTGAGCCGGTTCAAAGAGAGGCCCACGTTGCAACTTGTCCGGATAAGGTCTGTGGCATCGGTCCTACATGAACATCGGCGTCATCGTCCCACACTCACTTTGGTCCACATCATTCAAGACGGACAAGTCAAAGCCCTTCTTGGTGGCAATCTCCCTAACCTTCTCCACCAAGGCAGCATCACGCTTCTGCTCGCGAGTAAAGATCCACAAGCCAGAGCCATTGGTGCCAGTGCCCGTAGTGCAGCCCGCATCAGTGGCAATCTTGGGGGGACCACCCGAGATCAAAGCGTAGCCGGCGGCCTCATCATAAGCGATGACCCAATATGGGCCTGCCAGGAAAGAGGGCAAGAAGCAAGGAGCAACTGCCAACTGCCCGCGGCTCTTGTCCACCACTTTGGCGCAGAGCATGCTGCCGGAGTCATGAGCCGTGTGAGGGGGCGCCACGTCTTCCGCATGGTTGTGCACATTGACATCGTATCCCCAAAATGTCTTCTTGGCCGGGAGCGTGTAGTCAGCATAAACGCAGCGGTTCTGGGACTTGGGAAGGTACTTCACTGGCATCTGTTGTTGAATGTACCATCGTTTGGAGATGAAGCTTTCCAGGTCAAAGCTCTGCACTGAGTCAAAGCCCTCAGGTGGGCACGAGGCCTTCGACTGCAAAAACTCTGCTGCGCTAGTGCTCTTCGTAGTCTGCAGGCAGTCCGTGGGATTGTCGCCGGCTCCAAAGGACGGGCTCACCTTTGTTTCGGTGACAGCGAAGTCCTTCCCCACAGGCTTGCATCCTTCAGCAGAGCCGCAATACAACATGCGCATATTGCAGTAGTTGGTGGAGAAGTCTTTCACTGAGAACACTTGGCTCTCGCTGCAGCCTTGAATGTTGCAGGTGCCGTCCGTGCCGTCTTCAAAGGTGAATTTTATCTTGTCCGTGTACTTCTTGTTCCCCGTGACACGCTGCAAATCCAACTCGCCTGAGCTATGCCCATCAATAGTGTACGTGCCATTGTTGTGGGGGTCATGCCATTTTCCAGTGCTGATGCCCGCCACTCGAGCTTCCATCTCAGACATGACATCCTTGCATGACGCCTTGGCGGTCACATCAACCTGACAACTGGCATGTACTAACGATTTCGACCCCGGGCAAGAGTTGGCAGCCGCGAAGGGAGCAATGGCAAAGGCTGCAAGCAACCTGCGGGACATGGCCAAACGAAACGGCTGGACAGGGTTCACACTGGATGTTCTGAGAACCTGCTTCACGCAGCCGCAGCAATCACATGTGGCGCACACTCGAGTCCTTCCGAGTCTCAACAACAACAAATGTCCATCACATTGAATGCAAAGCTTGTCCAGGCAAGCGTCCATGATTGTAGACGGTTGTAACCTTGGAATAGCGGGGTCAGTTGAGGTCATTTGTGAACAAACAGGACCTGACAGCTTGGAGCCGCCAAGACACCTTCAGGTAATGATCTGGCTCGCATGGTTGGTCGCACGGGAGGTCCAGACGCGGTGGGGGAAGGTGTGGCCGGATGCTAGTGTTGCAGGTGCCTGGGAGGAGTAGCCAAGGTAATCAGGAGGATGCAATTGAGGATTCTCTCGTGTCTCAAAACCCTTGTTGGCCCACTTTCGGAACAAACCTCCACCTGATCAGGGTCAAAGATTTCACAGCCTCATGTTCCGAAGGGGGAGCGCCTGGATCCACATAGGCAAAGGCCTCGCGGACAAGACCGGCGCCTGGTTTCAAGTGGCACTCGCTGATGTCGTATCGATACTCCTCCGCATGCATTCGATGCAAATACGACATGTACATAATGTACATGCATGATGTACATAGCTCATGGCATCATCGAAGTCGTAAGTCAGCTCAACCACCATCAACCACCAATGCCTTCTCTTGACAGGCTCGGCCAGCAGATTCGGCCAATCCTGATGCTGTGTGCTTGGGACAAGAGGGAACAGCAATTTGACGCCAGCACAGCAAGGCCTGCACAGGTCAAGACGAGGAGGGACCCATGGAGGCGGACATGGCGGGACATGTTCGGCCATTCGGCTTGCTGGGATTTCTCACAATGCTTGCTTGCCAGGCGCATGCTAGGCAAACCTAATATCCTTTACACCATTAAAAACGAAAGCAACGTCTCTTGGGCTAGAGGTCGAGGATTCAGGGCGCTGTTCAAGCTCTCATGCGTCACAAGCTGTGGTGTCCCGTAGCTGTGCTTCGTTACCTGCTGGACTGTTTTAAGTCACACATAACTTTTGCTCAGCTTTCCGTCATTGATACGAATGAAACAGCTGCTGCTAGTTGAGAGATTCAGAGGAAAGTGCTTTGTACAAGAGGAAATCAGAATGTCTCTGCACCTTTTGAGAACAATAGAAGTCTCTTCTTGATGGAAAAGCCCACTCTTCTTCTCAACATGATATCGTTGAGAGATCTTCCGTTGGTTCATGATGGGACGAAGCACCTTTTGAAGCCTGATCAGAATGAAGACAAATGAGGTTCGCCAGGTTGTTTCAGGTCAAGATAATATCTTGCTACAGCTTCCACAGCTCTAATTGCGCGTCTTCTGCAGCGGCTAAATTAGCGCGCTGCAGAAGACGAGGAGAGCTGTGGAAGCTGTAACTAAATGAAGCTCATACCAAACTGTAGGCCGTAGGCATATCTTGCACGGGTTGACTCAACACACCGACAGTTAGCAACTGCCACATTGGTGGATGGCGTCAAGCTCAGTGCATCCTGAACTGGAAAGTCAGGTCACATCTGGAAGCTGGTATATCTCGGTCAAAAGTGTGTGGCAGTTGATGGCGAGTTCCCAAAGTCAGTGATGTGGCAAAAGTGCCAGGAATCTCTATTCTTGGAATCTGAACACCGGCCATGCTCTTATGCTGACATAAACTTCTATACAATACTATGTACCACTGTTCAGGTAATGTTTGCCTCGGGGCTCTTTATTCCTCATGGCAGTTCGCTCATTCTTGTCCGACGGTGCAAAATTGGAAATAGTCATGACAAAAAGGAAAGTGAGCTTTCTCCTCAGGCAACCAGGCAAAAGAACAGATGAAGACACATGAAACAAAAATGATGCCTTCTGCAGTGACGAACCAGAAAAGCACCACGCACAGTTGTTGTTCACGGCTGGCACGAGGCTGCTTGCGCCAGACCGCATGGAAAATCGCAAGGAGGCGTCGCAGGTCTGTTAAATAAGCAAAACGACCGGGAAGGACAACTCATTTCTTCCCGTGGCCGGAACTAATGATGGCGCAACGACTGAAGCGCTCGTGACCAATTGCCGGTCAAGCTGCAGGAATCAGTCAGCCAAAAAATAAAGGTTGGAAGGGCTGCCGTGGTGAAGCCAAAACTTTGCTAGCTCCCCACTTGCCCGAGGTATGTCCCCTTTTGGGGCAGCTTCCGGTTCGGCATTGTTTCGACGGTCTTCCCCCCTCGCTTATGGCGCTGTGTCGATGCCACCGCCATGATATCTTTCTCGGCGCCCCTTCGGCACCTCGACGACCTGGTCCTTAACTGACCACTTGCACACTCCATCAATCTAACCCATGCTGTCCTGAGTCCTCAGAAGGGACACAGATGCCAACGCCCAAGGACAATCTGCAGCCTCGTGTCCTTTGACAGCACCATGTCCAGAACCTTGGATGAAGGTCGGGTCTATAAGGCTTGGGGTACTTCCATGTACATCCCGGATTCCAGCACATGGCACTAGCCGGACCTCTTTCTTAAAATACCGGAGGATGCTCTAATGGGCAACTGAAGTCGGAAGTCCCAGGTGCATCGTCGTTGTACTCCTCGATCCGCAGGTGCGCCACGGACTTTGCTGAAAGGAAGCTCTCGACCGCGAACTTGAAGAGCATCAGCGCCTCAGGGAAACGGAAAGCAGCCAAAACAGCCTCTGTCTGAGCTGCACACGCGCCCGAGCCCAGAAATGAGCTCAGGCGAGTAGGTTTTAACCACTGGGCACCCTAAACCCTAAACCCTCAACCCTCAACCCTAAACTCTGTGCCAAGGCGAGATGCAAGCGGACACGGCAACGCATTACACGCCATCACAAGCGAAGAATCTCAGGTTCCCGCGCGCTCAGCAAGGACAAAGATGAGGAGCATGCGGAAGTTGCTGCTTCCTCCAACGTTGTAGATGAACACGACCTTGGTGAAGCATTTGCAGGTTCTGACAGTTGGGAAAGCGGTCCTTTTGCTACACTGGAATTGCGGCTCTGCGTCTTAAGGTACCGCACTGCCGCCAAAGCGAAAACCGAAAATGCGAACTGGGAATATGCGGGAAGCTGGAAAGCGCGCATTCGGGAAACCAAAAGCACAGGTTCGTGAAACTGCCGAATGCGTTGTCGGTCACACACAAATTCTGGAAACTGGAAAAGAAACCCTGCATTCATGCAACTGGAAGAAGTGAACCGGAGTGCAGGTCTATGATCCCTGCACCTCGGCCCGGGTTATCCCCCCACCACTTCCCGGAAAAGTTGCTTGAACGCCGCATCTCCGGAATGGGAAACTTTGAATCGTGAAATTTCTTGAATCGCATAGTTTCCAAAGGGGGGGGGGGGGGGGGGGGGGGCAGGAATGGGAGAACACGAGAAGGGGAGGACACCCCACCCCTGTACCCTCCACACCAAGGCACGATGTAGCAGGTGACTGTGACCCCTATGTAGGCCACGACGTTGAGGATGGAGCTCCAAGCCCCGATGCCCTCCTCAGCAAGGTAATGGCTCGGGTAGCTGATGCGCAGAGCAGCAACATCAAGTACTCTATAGCTGACTCAGAAAGCAAGAGCATCGTCGCCTGGACGCGGGGAATCACCCGTTGGTGGATGTAGCAATGCTTGTAGCCGATCAGCCTTTCACAGACTTGGGGGTTCTTGGTGTGGACTTTGGGGCAATCATGCCCGGCCTCTTTAAGGGAAAGGCGGCCAGGAAGCAGAGAATGCAAATGTAGGGTGATGTCACCCCGAACCTCGGCATGCTGCAATCAACTCTCAGCTGGGGCAGTTGCCCAGTGTCCCCTTGCCGCGCGTACATTGCGATGAAGCCAAAGTTGAACACAACCTGGGGCTCGCGACGAGATGCAAAAAAAACAAGATCGCTACCAGCTCCGCAGTATCACACGGCCGCCTTGCCCCTACTTTGCCCATCCTAGCCAAAGCCGGAGAGATGCTGAACAAGCAAAGCCCAGGCACATCTTGGTAGTCTCGGACTTCGTCCGTGACTGTGTACGGTGCTCCGAATGCCTCCAGGGGCTGCAGGTAGCTGCTGTTAGCTGCAGGTAGCTGTGGGCATTTTTTGGAGCAACCTGCGTGTCGGTAGGGCCCTATATAAAGTTCTAGGGCCCCTGCCTGGACCTCCAAGTAGCTCAAGCCATCGCCTGAAGCGACCGTCTGGAAAAAATGACGTACCGGAAGCTTTGACAGGCAAGCAAACCCGACCGGTAAGCATCGCCCGTCTTCCAGCTTGTCTGCCCGTGCCATGAAGCATGACATGTCGTCCAGCATTCTCTACGGAAGTCATGGTCCCAAAGCTCAACCGTCATTCCGAGTCGAGCAGCTTTCGCCGCCCTTCTTCCTGGAGATCTCACGTTTGATTCTGAAGTACATCACGGCAATCGAGATTCCGACTTCCACTACCATCGATATCACCTTGTGGGCCAAGGCAGTGGCAACGCCATTCAGTGCTGCGACATCCGAGCGGCTTGGCACTTGTACGACTATAGACTATAGCCTTTCCTAACCCAAGCCCAAGCAGGGGCAAACCTGATCAAGGTTGGCCATGGCCTGGGTTACGATGAAGACCGCCAGGTCGGCTCGCACCATCCTGAGGCAGCCTGGCAGGGCAACGCGGCAAAACGAGACGGCACCCAGCCTGCTTCTTCTAACTCTTGCGCGCTTCTGACTAAGGATCCTGCAGACCTCCTACGGCTGGCTTGCCTTGCAGAGGATGCTCCGTCAATCCCTTCACTTCTGGGCAGCCCTCAACGGTGGGCATAATGAGGAGGGTGTAGAAGAAAGGATAGTAGAAGATCACGAAGTTGACGACAAAGAGCTTCAATGTCATGGCCGATTTCACGTCCAACTCTGTGCCTTGGCACCGGGAACCCCTTAAAGAGACCCCCAAAGCCATCTCAAGCTCCAAAAGAGACCCTACGGCCCACCTTACAGTGTTCCGGCTTCGTGGGCTTATCAAGGTCTGGGACTGCCACATGGCTCAGGGCTCCAATACTGCTTTTGGGACTATATTTCGGTAATTCAGGTCTGCAAGCAAAGATTGAGGTCTTCCCTGCGCTGAAGGTTTCTGGCCGACCCTGCATCTCCCTTCTGCGCACGGCAACCTTCCTTGCCCGACTTGAACTTCAACTGGCCCCGAATCATCCATGGTCGCCTACACCAGCATGAACCAAGGCGCGCCAGTTCTCACGCTCAGTCAACATTGGCGAGATGGCCATCCAGGCGAAATTGACAACTTTGATGTTGAGCGTGATCAAATACCTGGGTGCTTGAGGAACACCGCCTTCCCTACCCCATCCCCCGCACGCTAAAGAAATGCCAAGAGAGAATCACCTTGTGCCGCGCGATGATGCCTGCACATTGAGCCCAAGGGCTTGGCAGCCAGGACGTAGTAGGAGTTTGGCATGCCCAGGGTAGTGCCGTCTGGACTGGCAAGGGCATCACTCCGTGAACTCGTCAAGAACCAAACCACGCCGACCGTTTCAGAGATGAAGAGCGCACAGAGCAGCCAGTGAAAGAGTAGTCGCATCGTTTCCTTGAAGGTGCCACGCAGTTCGTCCCTGAAGGATTTCCGGACCTCGGATTCAAGGAATCCGGCTCCCCAAAAACCAAACATGAACTGCTGCAAGCCGAGCGCTGCAATTAGCATCACTTCAGGTGAGTCACTGGGGCCACGTCAATATTCGCACCCATCATGCCCCAGCGCAGCGTCTTAAAGTCCATGTCTTGCTTGTAACTTGCCTGGCTGCGCATGGCTGTGCAACCTGTATCCTCGACAGAAACCCGGCAATAGAGGTAAGCGTGCGCAGATTGAGTTGACCCTGGCAAATTCTCCTCGCTTGTCTTCAAACCGACATGCTATTCATCATCCAGACTTTGCCAGGCTGCAAGGAACCATGTCGTCCACAAGCACAACCCAACCCCAAAAACGGAGTTGACGATGTGAACCTCACAGGTTGTGCTCGGCAGTAGAATACCGCTCAGACTCACAGGCAAGCGACATCGCGAAGGACTAAAGCTTAAGACTTAAGATTGGCTTAGACTCAAGCTGTTGAAGGCTTATGCTCTTTTGCCCTTCTGGGCTTTTTCCCGCGACTCCCTGGCAGAACAACGGCCCCCTGCCCCCGCGACAATGACGGATACGTGCAGGCTCTTAAAGCGATCGCTCTGCTGACCCTATAACTTGTCGGCCTTCTCCAAGGACAAGAGCGTGGAGGTGCGCAGTAAGGTAACGATGATGCCGAACACGGCTGGGATCAGCAACCACCTCGGAAACTGGGCATCCGCATATGTCGTTACCTTTGTGAAGCCACCAAATAGAAAGCTCTCGTGAGCCAAGGCTCCGCACAAATGTGCTGTAGAAGTGGAAGAAGTAGGCAACCTGAACGCCAAAATACCTTGGCGCCGGAAGGCTCTTGGATGGCTTTGGAGCTTCATGTCTGTTGTAAGCGGAATGCGGCGCATTTCTCCCTGGTCTTTCTCAGTCTCCATAGACAGGTTAACCCCTAGCCTAACCTCGTAAATCCCTCAATATCCCTGAAGTCGTCAAGCGCTCAACATGCTGCCTGCGAGAGGGCTCCATTGACTGTGTGCTGGAGGCGACGTCGAACAAAATAAAGTATGCCAGCCAAAACACCTTGAAAGAAAGTCTGGCATGGTCGGCGAAGGCCACTGGATCTTCAGAGGATTGCTCCAACCACGGGCATAGAGCTCCTGCACCTTCTTGTAGTCATGGGCAGCAAAGAACTTCGTGACCACCTCCGCCTCAGGGCTTACAGTAACTCGCAAGACCAGCCCCGAAGAACAAGAAGAGTTGCAGTCAGAAAGTGTTGTTTTTTGTGGGCTCTGGTGGGCTGACGAGAAAGCGAGAAGTCGTCGCGCCTCCTCGAGCGCTGCCATGTTGATGACTTGCGTGATGGTCCGCCTCGTGACTCGAAGCTTGTCCGGCTCGGAAAGCTCTTCCAGCTTCGCATGCTTGTCCTCCGAGTAGTGGACCTTACGCTCCCATTTTGAGTACAACTAGGATAACTAGGAACGTGGACAAGCAATCATTCGGAACACTACTGCGGTGCCAGCCCCAAGAAGGCAGAGCAAGTGCAACAAGAAAGCAATTTTCAATGGCCGACATGTGCAGACGCAAAGAACACAATGCCGCCAGACAAAACGGCCCTTTACCTCCTAGTCATAACCGCTCATGATCTGGCCCAAAACATCGCTGACACAATGAGAGGCTAAAGCTGCTTGCTACGGCGACTGGTACAAGGAAAGACATCCCCATTGCTTCTCGCGCATGCTGACGACAAACTTCAGCCAAGCGACAAAGGCTCCCCCGAAGTTGTCGATCGGCAAGCCGTCAAGGTATCGCTCTTCAAAGTTGAGACGGGTAAAGTCGAAATCCTCATTTGGCAGCTCACCTCTGACTGTGCTGCCCCTGACCTCAGCATGCCCCAGTTGCGGGCCTCCCCATTGATGACCTTTCGATCAGTCGGGACCTTCACCAGTGCTGTCTTGTATGCTTCTGGCTTCACCCGTGCGCGGACCTCGCAAGGCTCGGTTGCAAGTTGGAGGAAACATCATGGCAGCAAAGGCCGCACCTCGTGCTTCGCCGCAAGGGCACGGAGAGCCTTAGGATCCTCGATGGAAATAGCGACAAAGTGCTCATCGCCATCCACAGAGGGGAACTCTGCAACGTTGCAGCCGTTGTCTGGCAGAAATCAGACATCCCCTTTGCTAAAAACGCCGTGAGGCTTCAAGGACGACGTGACGGGTCTTTGTGTGGAAAGCTGCCGAAGGCCACGTTGCTGCCGTTTGACATATTCTGGCCTGACAGCAGCTCCTGGATCTGCTCCTGGGCGGCCTTGATGAAGTCCTGCAGCACAAGCCAAGGCCCTTAGGCCCATCACGAGATGACTAGCATTGAGAAGCCCATGGTCCATCCGAGGTCAAAAAAGGGACCAACGTGCATTGCTCTGTCCTGCTTGGAGATGCCTTCTTTGACCTGCGGCGGCATCGGGCCACCAAGAGTAAAGGCGGCCTGTCACTGGGGGGGAGGCTTTGCATGTCGTGGATGGGAAGGTTCTAGCTAGCTTCATGCGTGCAGCCATCCAGCGCGTCCCGCCTGCCAAGCCTTCGTCGGCTTTGCCATAGGCTGAAGATATTTCTGCTGTGTTTTTGGGTCACCTCGATGTGTGCAGCAGACAAGAAGTCGAGAAGCGGCCGTGCTGCTACCACTTGCCGTTTGAACCACTGCCATCCAAGAGGCTGCCTTCAGGGTGCGGAAAAACCATCACAAACTGAGCATTCCTGGGCGATATTGCAAACACGACCAGACAAGGCGTCTGGCCCGACCACGGATATAACACCACGGATGAACATGGGATGGCAAGAGGCTGGAAGCTCAGATGAACTCTGCTGCCCATGATCGTGGCCGTTTTCGTCTCCTCAAGTCTCGGCCATCCAGGCCACAAGAATCCACAATATGGGGGTTCCCGAAATTAGGGGTACCTTGTTGGGGTCCTTATTTATAAGGGAATCCTGCTATTTGGGGGGTCTATATTCGGGGTCCCTTATCTTCATAAACCCCAAAAATGACGAAAGAACCAGGGCACCTCCACGAGCCGAGCCCTCTCATCGCGGGAACCAGGCGGTACGCTCATGGTGTGTGTGGATGTACACAGGCAGTAGGGACCCCTAATATACACCCCCAGATGGTAGGATGCCCTTGTAAGTAGGACCCCAACAAGGTACCCCTAGTTTAGTGAACCCAAAATGGCGGCCGTGTCTTGTGCCATGACAAGGCTTGCTTCAATGTCCTGTTCAGTGAAACCCAATAGCTGCAGTGTCTCTTGCCATGAAAATGCTGATGGGGAACCGACTTAAACTTCGGCTTCAAGCCAATGGGCATGCACCGACAAAATACTTTGAACTCATTTACAATCCTTATCGAGGTGTGCCGCAAGTTTTCGCAACATATTATCAGCTGTAAAGCATCAGGAAGTGCACAGGTCCCGGACGCGAATTTTCTAGACATGCTACAGCACGTGTGAACACTTGACATTCGGCCTTGTCGCTGTGAATTTTCGAACTTCCGCATTGCTTTCGTGCTTGGGAGCGGGGGTTGTCAGTGGCACACAGTTGCACACAGTTGCACACAGTTGCACACAGTTGTAGCACGATGTTGCACACCGTTGCATCATGTTGCATCTGTCATATGTTGCACGTTCCCAGCCTGGAGCGGTCGCCGGCATTTTGCATGCATGCTGAGCTGTGCTCTGTGCATCTCCGCTGCGCTCTGTGCATCTCCGCTGCGGGGATAGTGCTAGCAGCTGCTTTTCCAAGAGTTATTGATCGCAGAAGAACCGGCCTCCTTAGGAGGCGCAGAGGCGATCATGGTGCAATCATATAGTCTCAGTCAGCACATCACAAAACGGCGCTCAGACTTTGACTCGTCCCCGAAGGGGGAACACCTGGCAAGACAAGAAAGAGATGGATATACTTTCAGTTGATCCAGGAAGCCAAGCAAGTCTAGGTCTAGGTATTATTCGCGCATCTTTCTTGAGCGGTCGGTTCGTGCAGAGCCTCAACTTGAACCGCTAATTTAACCGCGTGAAGGACCAGGAAATGGGTGGTAAAAACAAAGATTCAAAAACAAAGGAAGGAAACTGCATCGGAGATGCTACGACTCAGTTGACTTGAAGTGGCCACGCAGGGCAACGCTACTCTGACACGGCTTCATGACCAATACTTTCTTTGCTAGCCAATGTTCGAATGTTCGCGAAAGTGGGTGTGCCAAGCATGACCCTGAGCAGCTCCACCCTCGCGCTTTAACAAACCGCAGATGGCAGAGAAGGTTCCTGGGCCCCTTTTCGGCCACTTTTGTTGTTACTGACACTGCAGTCTGCTCATGTTGCTCATCCTGCTCTCTGTGGAACTCCACAAGGGTTGTACTGGGATGGAGCTGCTCACAGAAGGGATTTAGGATGAATTATACTTCTAATCTTTTTGGGCTGGGCCCTGAACATCCATGAACCATAAGCCAGGTGACACTGCCCAAGCAGTCGCTATAGTACTACGGCTATGACCGCGGTGTGTACACTGCTGCTTCGAAATGCACAAACAAAAACCAGCCAGCAAACACAACGGGGAACCGTATCAATTCTCGCCGAGCGGCGCGTGCAAAAGGAATTCCTGAGAGAACGGACACAACCCGACGGCTTGTCTGGTCTCTGCTGCAAGGCACATCTAGATTCGGCGCGCTTCATGAGGCTGCTGCGCCTGGCATGCCCGGTCTTCGCCTCATGCATTGCAAAAGGTCTTCCCGAGTCCGGCTACAGAAGTGTTGGAAAGCTAAAAAGAGGGCGGGCTGTATCACTCCGGGCATCTCATGCCAAGCTCCAATAAACCAGCAAGCATGCAAAGAACATCCAACAAGCACGTGCATGAAAAGCCCGAAATGGATTCCCACCTGCTCGGTCTCAGCAGCGTCCTTCGGCATCCTCCTCGCTTCGGCGGTACCTCAGCGGTTGCCGAACACAAATGTGCTAGAATTGAAGTAATTACTCAAAATCGTATGCAGCGGTTCTGTCCGAAAAGGGCCAGGATACTCTCCCACTTTGGGGCCTTGAGTTTGGGCTTGAGGTTTGCGGGGAGCTAGCGCCTTCCCTTCCCGACCCTTCGGATCCCCATTGACATGGTCCCCGGGCCAGGCATGGGCCCGAACCAGCCCGATGGAGAAGCGGGACCTCGAAAAGCACCGGTGTCTCCACAAAATGTGGAATTGCTTTGAGAGGACAAGGCCACCTGCAACTCAAGCGCAGACAGGAGTCACCAAGCGCGGCCCAGGAGCCAGGGCTTTACTCTGAGGAGGCCGGCGATCAGGCCGACTCCTTCCTGACAGATGAGGCATGCCCCCCCCTCCCAAGGGGGATTTTCACCAGGATACACCATGATACACCCATCCATCCGATGCGCACAAGGTGACGGTGCTCGATCCAGCGAAAGAAGTATCTGGGGCTTAGCAGGTGTGCGGAATTTTGGTTTTGTTCATCAACATCGTCCTAAAACCATCCTCCCGAATGGTCCTGCTGTGCCTTGCGGAGCGAATCTCCGCGACACGTCAAGACAAAAAAGACGAGGCGCAGACGCAGAGACGCACAAAACAGGACGGGACAGGGCAGGAAGGAACTAAAAATTGGAGGGACTGGGGGAATCATTCTCAAACCCTCCTCAAATCATCCGAAACCCTTTCCGGACCCTCTCCGGGGTTGTCTGGGCTTGTGTCCGGGGCCCCTTTTGCGCACCTTCGCTAGGGTTTCCGAGGGAGGCTCTCATAAATCATCTCTTCAAAGTTCAATCAGGCCCCGGAAAGGCTCTTCCGGGCCTGCCTGCCCGGAAAGCTAGAACCATCCTCAACTCGTCCGTGCCAAAAGCGGCGCAAGAAATGCTAGAGGAAGATCTGAGAGATCAGGGAAGGATGATGTTAGGACGACGATGCCGACCAAAAAGCGGGGTGGAAAATGACTGCGGATGATTTGAGGAAAAAGAGGAGGGTGGTTTTAGAAATTTTTCGGATGATAACGAATGTTTTTGGCGACCTCCAAGTTTAGCTGAACAAACTCATATGATCAGGGGTCTGCTTCCACTGAATTCTAGACCCTAGACTTTAAACTCTATAGCCCCTGATCATCCCCGAACCCCCCCTGCGCACCGTGGAGATGAACACGGGGATCTTGTAGCGCGCAGCGAGGATCTTTCGGCGGAGGTCCCAATCGTCTCGGCCCTGCAGGATGGAGGTGAATTAGGGCGCAGAGAGATGCGCAAAGCATACAAATACCACGAAGCTCGAGTTTTCGAGCTCTGGGCCTGGCAGTGTCACTGCAATGAACTACAGTTACTTACGGGCTGAGGCGACAAGATCACAACTCGGGCAAGCTTGACCAGCTACCGGCCGCGCCTTAAACGGTTTGCGCCCGCACATCATGATGTATAGGATGACCCCACAGCTCCAAAGATCGGAGGCGTACGGGACCTCACGGAGGTGGGCAAAGGGCAGGGCGGGCTCTCACCCAAGATCCTCAACGGCGACCCGTGCGGAAAGCTCTGCCCTGTGACGGAAGCTGCAATCCGGTGCCAGCTGGGGGCGCCGCACACCATCTACCTCGGAAAATCACACAGCAGACAGCAGCACACAACAGCACAACCCGAACGGCTGCTCTCCAGAATGTCAACATCCGCCAGTATAGCTCCACAACGAAGTCGAAAGACAACGGTTAACATCACCGTTGCCACTCGCTCAGGTTTTGGGAGAAGGCCCTTCTCATCAAAGCTGAACCCCCGCCGCGCCTTGTAGAACCTCTGGGGCCGCGTACTCCGGGGACCCAGACGTCGTTGTGATCCGCGTTTCCCTGCAGCTCCGGGAAGGTGGCTTGGGCTTGTAGTTGTGCGTTCCAGGGTGCGTGGTGTGGGTATCGTGCAGGCTTGGCAACTTGAGTCAATGGCAAGCGCCCAGAGTGCCCAGTGTGCGCCAGAGTGCCCTAGAATTTATAATCGAAGTGTTGGGAAGCGCCACTGGCTTTGGCGGGCCCAAGGCTCCCCAGCCACTGGGTGCCCCGGCCAAGGCTTGAGTGCTGTGCTCAGGCCGAAATCCGCGATCATCACGTTCCTCTGCTCGTCCAGGAGGAGGTTCTCGAGCCTGTGCCGTTTCTTACGGCCCGGGCTTGCCGTGACCCGGTGGGCCTCCGAGACCTATTAGGAAAATCGTTTGGGAAGTTCAGGTCTTCCTGGCAGGATCCCATGTCGGTCCCGTTTCCGTCTACCTGTGAAGCGCTTGCCATGCCCTGCCGGAGGTCGGCTGGTGCGTGCTCGTCTCGTGTGTCAAAACGGCCCCTACCCCACCCCACATTCCCCACTGTCCGCCAACCGAGCGAGCGAAAACTTGAAAGAGCCGTGGCTGCTCTCAAGCTCAAGAGGAGAGCAGGCCGACACCAACGTGGCAGGATCATATGGAATCACATGAATCGGCATTAATGGCATGGGCCCGTGCAGATGATGGGATCCTGTTGGAAGTGGGCGGCAACCAGAGATCCACAAGACAATGCGACATCACAAGCAGTCTTGAGGCTCCGAGTGCACTGCTTGAGGTCTCCG